AAGCATTCACAGGCCATTTTGATTTTGACAGTTTATTTATTTTATGAAATATCGAGAACTTTATCAATAAATGGAACATTATAACCATTTATCGGAACCTAGGAAACGACACCTTAATTGACAACGACAACAGCCGTAATTTAGAAATGGATATATTTATGAGATCATTTTTTTTCAGTAAAATGGTATTCCTACTCTGAAAATTTTATATGAACAAAAGCCCATAAGCAACATAAGTATGGTTATAAAATATTTTTTTATACTGTTAGGAAAGAACAGTATAAAAATTAAAAAATAATTTTAAAATTATAAAAAGTATAAAAATTTTGAAATAATTTTTAATATAAAAATTATTTTATTAAACAGAATTAATAAAATATACTTTAAAACACAATATTCTTTCGTTTTATTTATTGACACATTCTACAACAAAATACGTAGTACACAATTTTGGTCTTAGAGATTTGCAGACAAAATCTCCTAATATTCTCCCTAATTAAATCGCAATTCTGTACGTGCATATTAATTTATTAAAGGGACGACCTACTAACCAAAACGCATTCATTTAAATTACAAATCCAATTAAGCTTATCTATGGTTCAAATTTTATACCTCTGCAGAATTTCGAAATGGACCATTTCCGTTAAGATGTTCCCAAACTGCCCTGAGATTACGAGTTTCTGGAATTTACTTACCAAGTTCAAAGTTATAAACAGACGTGAAGAAGCATTTCATACAATTTCCAACTACTTAAAGTATTAAAAAATAAGTTAACTAACTGTAGTTGATGAAGTAAACCTTTTGAAACTGCAACTATAATTTGTAGTTTTTATTATTATTCGCTTCTGTCCCATCTGAGTGTTTATATTTGAGTAGTTGCCGTAGTTAAACGCACGTATTTTTTTTTATTCGAAAAGTTGTCAAACGAGCAGACGGTTCACCTGATGTTAAGTGAATACCGCCGCCCGTGGACATCTGCTACACCCGAGGGTTACAGATGCGTTGACAACCTTTTGAAAATTGGGCTCCGGCTCACCTCACTCACCAGACGAAACGCGCAAGTATTTGTCATACTGGCTACCACTTTACGCTGGTCTTCTGTGAGGTCGTGGTACTTTCCCGGACGGAACTACCCATTCGTGCAATAGCCGAGGCTGCTGCGTGGCCCTACCACCGTAAAACAATTCTCGTATTCACAAAGTACACCTAAATTCGGAAAAAACTTTATTCATATTAAAAAAAATTTTTACTCCATGTTTTACTCCATCCCCGTAATAGGGAGCGCAATCATGAGTTATCTTAGCTAATTCAAAAGGCAAAAGTGGTAAATATTGCTAACAACTAGTAACACTGCGTGTTTCGTTCGTGCTGTTAGCAATATTTATTACCACGAACACAAGATGATATTAACAGTACACGTCGTGATGCCTTGTATAGCGGTCGGGCAAATATTGCTTAGAAATAAGCCGATGAGTGTCAAAAATCGAAGCCCTGTTAAATAAGAGATTTTCGGATCGGGGCTGACTAAATTTAGATCAAATGAAACTCTAAAAAGTCAAATTTTAGCTCGTTTATCCCAAAGAGGAAAAATTTTGTCGAGTCTCCTTTTTTTGCAGGTACTTGTTATCATAGCTTTGATCGAAATTCTTGGCGTTAACATATTGAGCAACGTTCAATATACGCAGGCTCTTGAAAAGAAAGCTTTAGAAAATTCGGTGTCCTCGGTAGGGCAAGGCAGTATTTTTTTTATTTTCTTGAAATTCCCCTCGATATGGACGATCGATGACCTATTAACTCTTATATAATTTTGTGCAAAGAATTTTTCTTTGATATTTATTTTCAGCTACCAATAACATTTTGCTTACTGTTTAACATTATTTAATTTTATCTTTATAACATTTATCTTAACTATGTAATTTTAATTAAATTTTCTGTAATTTCGATTTCGTACTTCTGTAATTTTAATTACATTTTAATTGTTACTATTACATTTTTTTTTTCGATACTATTCATTATTTAATAAAATGATTGGTTGGTTTATTTTAATTTTGTTTCACATTTTTCTTATATCAATTTTTACCCATCTTCCTTTTTTATCTTATGTATCTTATCTAAGTAACAATTGTTACCTATTATTTTTTTAATTTTATAAGTTGGGAAAGGAACAGGCTGTTCATCTGATGTTAAGTTATCGCCAACGCTCATGGACATATACAACACCAGAGGAGTTGCGGATGGGTTACCAACATGAAGCCGTGATAGCTCAGTGTCCGGGCGCTCGCCTTTAATTCAATATACTCGAGCGACCTGAGTTTGAACTTCAAGATGATGAAACTTTTCTTTTTCGAATGAACGATTGTAATTTTTTTTAAAGAAAGATATTTATTTAAGAGCTTCAACGCGAGCGAAGCCGCGGGTGAAAATCTAGTAGGTATATATGTACGACCTTTTAATATAATAATTAGACTAAACAGTAGTGGGGAACGTCACATACAGCGCCTGCGCCGATGATGTTCATGCGTGAACAAGTACTAAAAATAATAAGTAATCTGATAAGGTGTAGGACAACGGAGATAATCAAATATTTGTCTGTTGTTAAGGTAGAATGTCTAGCTAAAGTTGTAACTTACTTTTAATTGAAGTACCTTATACCTTAAAAATTCAAAGTTAAAAATCCTAAAATACTCAACGAATCTTATCTAAGCCTTTAATAACGAAAATGTTTGATCCATATGGAAATACATACATTGCAAATACTCCATATAAGTTAAAACATTGTCCTAATTAAATGAAACTAGTTTACGGATTTTATCGCGTAAACTAGTTTCATTTAATATTTATAATATTCACGTAAAATCAAGAAAACAATACATTGTCCTAACTCTATAATAATATTACTTATCCTTTTATATCTCGTATCTAAGTCTTAAAATCGATTTTATAAAGGCACGGGCACCAAATCAAAGCCACGTGCGATAAAAGAGATAAATTGATTTTAATTTTTCTTGTGCTAAAATCAAGATATGGATTAAGTGTGCGTATTTTAATGTTGATGAGGAGCATTCTTCATACCATAATATGGTACATGATATGTAAGTGTGGTGGTAGCTTTCTTTCAGTTTTACAGCTGTTGAAAGCGGCATCTGGTTTATTTAAAGCCGAAACAAAAAAAATATATTTATAGGGGTTTTTATTTTCTAGCATCAATTAAATGGTGTGTCAATTCAATCAATTAGCAATTTTGGATGAATAGCTACACACCAGTCAGCATTTATACAGTAATAAATAACACATTTTCTGACAAAGGCTGATGAATCTTACAATTACTATAAAAATAATTTATATTACCGAAAATAATTACACCATACACAGTTATACAAAACTGTACATAGTTCCTATTTGAACTTTTTTGTTACTTAAATTTTATATTGCTAATCTCTGCATGAAACATTAAAATTTGTAGAAAAATGAACGAAAATTTTTCAGCCGCTGCGGGAATCGAGGCCATGTCTTACTGATTCGCTCATGAATCAACCACTGTTGGCCTTAGGGGCCTTTACAGATCCATCGGGCTTGAGGTGGCAGGGCGCTGAGGGTGCGTAGCCTGTACCTCGATTTATGGGTGACTTAGCTCGAGGGCTCCCGAGAGAGCCTCGGCTTGGGCTGACACTCAATACCCGTTTAGCATTAAAAAGTCAAAAATCCGACTCGAGGGTGCCCGCGGGGACCGGAACTCGGCTCGATCGGTAGCTATAGTTTGACTACGAGAATTTCTAAACCCACTCATTACTATCACTTCGGAAAGTGGTGGAACTGGGAGAAGAAGTGGCGGAAGAAACTCCAGCAACACTTCTATCATTAAGGGGGGAAAACCTGCTAAGTACAAGGCGGAACCTAGTATATGTTTGCCGTACTCGCCGGCTAGTACGGTGTGTTCTCATATGTTTACGTAATTGTTTTATCCTGTCGATGGCGATAGTCGTCTCATCGTCAGGGAAATCGAGGATGTGTCGTGGTCTGCGCTATTTGCGACGGAACGTCCCTAACGGTAGGGGTATGTGGGTGTGGGCACCTAAGACTAACGGATTGGATTTTAAGCACTAAGCTAATAAATAGAGATGCTATAAATTGAAAAATTTTATACAGCAGTAGCGACATCTCTCGTTTAAATTATCGTTGTAGAACATTAATTGGAATTGTTTGTGTGCTGTAAAAGACATTAAAATAGATGTGCCAAAAATTGCGTAAAACCGAAAACCGAAAACCAATGTAAGTATTAGATAAAATACTTTGACATCTTGGTCAGCGTGGCAATCAGCCGTTTAGGTTAGTGGAAAAGCGACTTGGCGCGATTCCGAAAGAAAGGAAAGGGCTGGATTTTTCTTTTACTTAATTTCATTCCCAGATTTCCCGACGTTAATTAAATTACGTAGCTGTAACTAAAGACTAAAAGTTCACCACCATTGCAAGATCATGACAAATTATGGCTTGTAGTCGTTTAAATTACATTTATATTGTTTCATTATGTCTGGACTTCAAACAAGAGTTAACTTCGAGATTTCATTCAGGGAAATATTTGGGGTCCACTGTGGATAAGAAGAATTTAAAACTTTTCCTACACTACAACTCTTGAAAAGTTGATGCTTGTTGCTGCTTCCAAAGATTTCACGATTAAATCTGGAGATGCCTGAAGAGAATTGGAGCATGAGGTAAACGAAATCTAATCGGTTATTCCACTACATTTAACCTAATATAAATAAGTTTAAGTAAGCCAGTCTACTACACACGTATTTACCACGCGTTGAGTGTTATCAATAAGTCAGCTTTAATCGCTTTATCATTCTAAGCTTAATATATCTATCCATGTTCAAAATGACACGATAGTGTGAGTATATATATACTTTGGAAACTGTTAATTGGTTGTCACTCCACGAACTCTAATGGCCTTTGTAGGCCTAAAAATTATAGTATAATTTCATTGTTCAACTTCTGAAGCAGCCATGCGTTTATACGTTGTGCTGGCAACAGTATTTGTTGCGGCCCTAGCTCTGCCAAGTCCCGCGGAGTTGCCAGAGCCCGGTCAACTCGCTCTTGTGCTCAACGAGGACGACTTCGAAGACTATTTGGACGCTTGGCTAGACCAAGAGCAGAACAAATACCGCAATGAGACGCAGTTCGATGCCCGCAGCGGTGAGTCACTCATTAATTTTCATCAGTTTGTTATAGAAAAACGAGCGAGCCTTACAGTAGCGTATCGTCAGTTGATGTGAATCTGACATCTGGCTTTGGATTACCAAGGCCAGATTACAGATATGCATTACCAAGGCCAGATACTTATTAAAGCGACAAACATTATGTCCTGAGAAAATGATTCAGATATGATATGATTTTTCGTAACGAATAATAATTGTTTTTAATTTTATTTAACAACCACTCCTAAGTAATAAATACAATTTTTCATTGAAAACAGCTATTTTTGGTCATTATGTGGGAGGTCGGAGGCAATAGACTTATTATGATTAAGAATCATTAGAATTGAGTTAGTATTACAAATATTAAAAAAATATATTAATATCAAAGAACAGTGTAATTAATTGTTTTTAATCAAAATTAATAAATCAATTGAGCATCGGCCGAAGAAGTCCCCAAAATTTAAAAAGCTAGATGTCAATTCAAAGAGATTCAATCATCCTTTTGGAAACGCAAATGACATTTGAAAATCCATTTGACAGCTAGTTAGTTGATATCTACGATGATCAGTGTTTCAGAAACCGGACGTGACTCAAACAAGCGCGCTCTCATTGGTTAAATCAAATAGCGCTTCCCCAGCTTCCTGCGACTCACTTCCACCCTTTTTCACGAAGTCACTCCCACGGATTGCAAGAAATTGTGTTTTTATGTGTACCTAACACCTAAAAGAACGATTTAATTAGCATTAACAATCACTCTAAAATAATCTGAATATGACTCTGCACTCTTTGAACATATAGCATACGCAAGGGAAATCAATGTCTCACTGTCATATACATTTTAGATTAACAGGACAGTATACATTTATATAGGAAAAATATCAACACGCTTTCAATTTAACATGAATTGAATATGTAAGAAAAGTTCTTGTTATTCGTGGTCTTCATTACTGAAGGTCGTGTCCGTCTTGACAAGCTTTGACAGAATTGGTGAAGAGCCGCTTCCACACCATTCTGTCTTCGGCTTTCTTCAGGGCAATGGAAACAGGAAGCCCGGTTATCAATTTTATTTGATCAGACAAAGCAAGTCTCATTTTAGTTTTGTTTGAAATATTTGTGTCTCGCCAAATCCTCGACATTTTGCCAATGGCGCCTTTTCCCATCTGCGTAAGTCTCCAAATTTCCTTCCCGCCCCATAAAAAAAAGATATATAATGACGATTTCAAATAATAACAGCTCAGGCGTCATCGCTTAAAATTTTTCTGCGCAGGTTGCACATTCCGAGTGAACGGAGACCTAGGTCAGCCTCAGCCAGTTTACATCCACAGAAACAATTATATGACACCAAGTGGAAATTCCGGTCAGATTCGTCTCAACTCTGGGGAACAAGTCATCATAGCTTGCACTGGATCTGGGCGTACCATCCGCCACCCAAACATCGCTAGAAGTGTAAACATTGGGGTAAGCGCGAGAAAATGAAAAACGATAATTATTTTTGTTTCTGCTAACCTTTTTTACAAAAGAGGCTTTTGTCTAGCAGTGGGACATAATTATATAGATGGTTACATCACTTTAATTTTTACTATACGACAAACTTTGGCCGTGTCACCGGTGGCCTAAACCTACAAAATCTCTCTAGAATTATGCTCACTTATAAAAAGTTAAAACTTTGAATTTTTCCATTAACGACGAAAATATTGCATGTTGACTTTATTTTTATGTATTTATACTAATCTAACAGACCGCCCAATGTGTCAACAATAATCTCGTTCGTGGAGCCGGTTGGTTGAATGGAAACGGTGCTTTCGGCCAATTGACTTGTTCCGCTCATTCATTCCATGAAGCTCAAGGAACAAATCAAAGATGCTTCAACAACAACTTGGTCATTAGGTAACTTATTACCTTATAATATGACTTTTATTTCTATTTGTTTATACCGTTTAATATCCATGGCTTTATGTATTTCAGAGTCGGGTTCATTGTGAACAACGTGTTCTATCCGTTATACTGGTCTTGCTTCGACCAGAGACGCTTGGAAGTCTTATACGTATGGTACTCACAGAACCCCACCAATGCAGTGCATCAAACTGGTGTCGACAGACCGAGCTGGCTGCGTATGTTCATAATTATTTTATTATTTACTAACTATATAAGTGCAGGGACCGGCGCTAAACATTTAAATTGAAAATGCGGCGTCTCTAGTTTTCAAATATTCATTGTAAACATGTTATTCGAGAAAATGTGTTTGCTGTAAAGGGCTGCTGTAAGATGGCAAGATAAAAATACAATGAAAACCAAGTAGATTAGATATTCACGCGGTGGGGATATCAACCGTTTAACTTATTGCCTTGGTCCGAACCCGTATTCCAAAAATTTCGACATTTTGTAAGTTTCATCCTAAGTGTAAACTAGCAATAAAATAAAAAAAATAAAAATTAAATGGCAATAATTTTAAACAAATAAAATTTAAAAAATGTTAACAAATAATTCATATTTAAATTCCAGCTGGCAGTTTCTTCCCTGGAGTCGATGTAAACAACCGCTACACACAGGTGCAGCAAAAGATCTCGATTGCCCGTTACGTAGGTAACGCATTGGCTGACAGATACGTGACCAGCCACCAGTTTTTGGCACGTGGTCATCTCGCCGCCAAGAGTGATTTTGTATTCGCAACCGGTCAGCGTGCAACCTTCTACTTCATCAACTGCGCACCGCAGTGGCAGCCATTCAACGCCGGTAACTGGAACTGGCTTGAACAGGTTAATGGCATAATTATATTTCATAAAAATACTTCTAATTGTTTCACATTAAAATCGAAACTTAAGTGTTAAGCTGGTGAGCTATCGACTTCTTTAATATATGGCATCGCGGTTTGAAGCAATGCAAAATTCTTTCCCAAAACTCTAATGAGTCAATTTAGTTTTACTTCTGTTAAGATTGGTTTCTCACTTTTCAATTTAGAACATCAAATGATTTTTTTTTACATTCAGTGATTATTTATAATAAAAAAACAGCTATGAGAAAGCAAAGACGTTTTGGGTATTTATAAGATATACTAAAGGACTTTAAACTTGACAGAATCTTCGCGCCCGTATCGGACAAGCTGGGTACAACACAGTGATCTACACAGGCACCTTTGGAGTTACGCAGCTGCGTAATGCGAACAATCGCTTCGTCAACATTTTCCTCCACGTCGCTAATAACGGCGTTGAACAAATCCCCGTTCCTGAATACTTCTACAAGGTGAGTCCAACATCAACCCTAACCATCCCTTCATGATGCATATTATTATTCGTATTTCTGAAAGGCAAAGGGTCCTTTGTTGATCAAGCATTGACAGTTGGCTACTAAACAATACGCCGTTACCGTTTTGCATTCAAAATGTCATATTCTAATACTTTTCTTCATTAGGTGGTGCATGATGCATCGAGGAGAATCGGCACGGCTTTCGTGAGCATCAACAACCCGCATTACACCTTGGCGGAGGCCAGGGCACGTCAGTTCTGCACTGACAGGTGTCGCAACAACGCCGCCTTCAACTGGATCAGGTGGCAGCCGGACCGCGTCGACATCGGCTACAGTTTCTGCTGCACCATCGCCGACTTCAGGAGGGTTGTGCCACACCTCCCCGCTTTCACCGTTAACGGCCTTTTGTCGTAAGCATAAAGTGTTGCTCGCTGCAATAAATTACTTTGAAACATGACCCGATTCTTATTCTTCTTATTCAGTGCAAATCGCGCTTCCGCGTAAAGTACTAATAGTACCCGTACTAAAACGAGATACGAGTAATTATGAAGTCAGTGACTTTCAATTGAAATTCGTACAAAACTAAATTCAAAAATGTTTTTTATTATCTCTCAAGATTTACTTCTCATCTCATTTAATTTTTAATCCTAGAGTAATTTTTAGCGATTTACTGTGATAAGTTCAATTTAGTAGGTTACTATCATAATGTACGCGAAACAATTTTTATTAGGTCGTTGTACCTATAAATATTTTTGCATATAGTAAAGTAAACAAACAACCATCGTCACACAAAACAATGAAAAAAAAAACACTATTCATTTAAATTAACAGTACCCGGAGGACTGTTCTTTTTTTTTTTGGTAAATCGTGTATTTTGGAAATTACATTTAGATACAAATTAGTGAGTAATGAAATATGCATAATATTTTTCGATCTTACCGACGTAATAATAAGAAAATATGGACTGATGTTTTTCACAAAAGAAAGAACATTAAAAAAAGGGAAAAAATAACAAAATAACAAATCGACAAAAAATAAAAAATAAAAAAAAGCAATGATCTGGAATCGAAAAAAAAGTAAAAAAATAAATGTGTAAATGATCGTGACGCGAACCACGGCCGTCTGTTTTGGGGCCGCCAGATCACCGACCGAGCTATTATGACTTTTGCTCTTACGGCGAAATTTACCGTCATATTCGAATTACATTTTTCATTCTCTGAAAACAGGGATAAAATGACATTTTCTAAAAATGAAACCTAGCTAGATCGATTTTTCGCCCCCGAATCTATGCACATACTAAATTTCATGAAAATCGCTGGAGCCGTTTCCAAGATTCCGATTTTATATATATATATATATATATATATACAAGAATTGCTCGTTTAAAGGATAAGATTAAAGACATTATTACATTAATAGTCATAAAATATAACACTATAATTAAAACAATGTAATCTTCCCGTGATGCACTAAGCTTTATAAAAGTTTTAAAATATTAGGATACCTAAAACACCGACAAACTTCTTTCATTTAAGGTTAAACTCAGTAAATAATTTTAAGCTTGTAAAAATCAGCTCTACATGCGCCTATTTCTGTACAGGCAACAATTAACATTCATAATATACTACTGAAAACAAGAAACCGAAAAATTAACTTGCAATTACTGATTATCATGCTTACACATATAGGTGAAGTAAATATTCGAAAAGCAGAAGAGGAATTATTATTTAGTAAAAGACTACAGGACCCTGTTTAAGCGATCATTCATTGCGACGAAGTCTTGAGAGACCCACATTTTGAAACGTAGTTAGGATAAATGGATTTAGCGCTCCGTTTCTGCCTAAAATAATTTATTTGGGTACCAGTAGAGACGGTACCGGTTTTCTTGCAATATAACTCCTAATTTCAACCCGATAAACCATTTTGTCCTAATTACCACATTGATATCCCTAATAATTCTTCTCTTGGTAAGTGAAAATTATTTATAATAAATTCCATAGGACTTGACAAGGAATACAACGTTAAAATGTTTAATATGAACTGATGAAAGCTTCTGATAAAATGACAAGAGATTTTTGAGAAGTGTGACCAACAACGGATATTTGGTCTTTACATGCCTGTATCACTTGACACAGAAGTGTAAATATTTTACCTCACACCGGTCTTCTGACAACTTGTACTGTACTGTTTATACATAAGTTGTTATATAAACTTATGTTGGTCTCCTAGAGTACATGAAAAGAAACTTTACCTAAATAATGTGATTTTCAACAAATAATCATTGTTTAAGGGCATTCGGAAACTATAAATAGTACATTTTTATCTGCAGTTAACCCGCAGATACTTGACGTTTTTATCACTTATTCGCACATTTAAACGCTATTTTTAAAATGCACCACCTACTCTACATACCATGAAAAGGTGTATTAAAAAGCGTGTATTAAAATTCGCCTCCTGTATTTAATCACTAAAAATATGCAACTATCAAATCGATAAAAATATTTTCCTCGGTTATAACGGTTACAATATCTCACAGTAAGTTTGATTAGATAGTCTGTTATTCATTCTTTTCACAATTAAATGATGCCTTTTGAAAGATGAATGATGAAATAAATTTTAATTATTTAACAATTGTGTCCGATTTTTGCAGGCAGTTTCTTAACTGAGCTTCAGTTAAGAAAAAATCGTTATATGTATTATACTCAACTCTCAGCAAATGGTTCTCTTTCTATTTCTGACACTGGCTAGGTAACTGGACAGTTGCGTTCTTTTTTTTTTAATGGGAGAAAGCGGCGAACGAGCTGGCGGTTCACCTGATTTTATGTAATAATCGCCGTCCATGGACATTTACGACCCCCTTAGGGTTGCAAACGTTGCTACCTTTTGATAAAGTTGGCCCCGCCTACCTCACTCACCCGACTTGCAACAGCGAACACTGTTACGTGGCCCTACCACAGTTGCGTGACTTATAAATATGAATTTTTTCAATTGTTTTTTTATTTTTTATTGATTTACGCTCAGTCATTTTAATTTATTTCATTGAGCGTATAATAATTTATCTCTAGACGACACTGCTTTGGTACGATAGTTCGTATTGCTTATTAGTAATTTATAAAAGACATTAGTAGTAGTATGCCTACCACTTCTACCGAGTAGATCACTTAACATATAATGTTTCTTAACTCATTTTCATCGAAAAATTATAGTATATTTCCATAAAACTTTCCACAAAAGATACGAATTCCCTAGGCCTCACTATCATTTTTTTTTCATCCTACTTCAAAAAAGGAGGAGGATCTCAATTCGACTATATTTTTTTTCTTTATTACCTCAGAACTTTCGACTGAGTGAACCGATTTTGATGATTCTTTTTTATTTGAAAGCTGGTGCTTCCCATTTGATCCCATATTAATTTCATTGATATTGGATCTTGGGCTCCGGAGATACTTGGGGAACTCCTGAAAATATATTTTAAAATGAATACAGAGCGAGATATTTGAAATGTTTGTTTTTCGATAATAAAAATAGACTTGTATTCTTTGTAACAAATATTCATACATATATTTTTTGGATAATCAAATGGAGTTTAATCGATTATGAATCACCTGAAATAAACATCGATCATTGCAAGTTAACGAAAGCGATACATCATTTCCCCTCCGCGGTTATTTGTGCTTCAATATATGAATAACGATTCTTTTTATTTATGTTTTAGTAATGTGAGTAGCATATGCGTCTCAATTTATTAGATATTTCTTGACACACTTCATGTTCCTAGCCATATTAGAACATTTATGAAATATAGATATAATGGGATCTAACTTTGTCTTTTTATACAAATGCATTGATATAGATTGAAAAGAGTTTTAAGTTCATGACACCTTTGCAATATTCTATGTGTGTTTGTATGTTTATGAACGTAAGTTTTCTATGTACTTTACTGTAGTATAAACGTAGAGAATGCACTTCAGCTGTTTTTTTACATGATGTAGCAAATCACACAACCCTGTTTAATTTATTTAATTCTGCCTGTTCCATAATATCCGGCAAAATGAACTTATTTCAACCGAGTGTCCCGCAATTCTATTACTTCATAATTTTTGTTACTTGAAATTGGATGCATTTATAAAATCCAAGTCTGTAATCTATCAAATTGCAATTTGAAAAAAAAAATTGATAGAGTAAATCAATTATTAGGATTATAAAGCCAATTAACTTTGCGATCATGGTGCATCCTGTCACTATCTTGACGTTTTTATCTCTTATCTATATATATATATATATATATATATATATATATATATATATATATATATATATATAAGAGATTTCCACCGATAATTGACTCATCACGATATCTCTGGAACCATAAGGCGTAGAGACTTGAAATTTGGTAGGAATATTCCTTTCGCCGAGTAGAGATAGAGGATTTTGGAAGAAATTCCACAAAACAACGTTTGTCGGATCAGTTAGTATGACTATATATGTCTTGCATCCTTTCTCCTACCTCTTTAGCATATTCTGTTAAAGATCTATGAGATTTTTTGATCAAAGACTCAATTTCGATTCCATCAGACTGTTTATAGTACAGAGTTATTCTTGTATTCTGGATTCCCATAAACATTGCAACCTCTAGTAATATAGCTCATTTAAAATTTATTTCTTGATTAATTTTAATTTCGAAGGGTAAGTCGAATTTTAACATTTTAACATTTTAACCCGTTGATTAGGTATAGAAAAAGGTAACGGACATTTTGTAAAATAGTCTATCGATGCTATGAGGAAGCGATTTCTTTTATCACGCAATGGAAATGGACCAGCTAAATCGCGACCTTTTTTGCCCAAGGAGCGTTAGACAGTTTAAGCAGTCCTCTACTAATTCCTCTTCTATCAGGACCTCAAAGAAGGACGTGACACATAACGCAATATCGCAATATCTTCGTTAGAGGGGGGTGCGGGAGGTTCGTAATAATTTCGAAGCAACGAAATATCTCTGCAGTTTCCTATCAGTTCCCTTCCTAATAATGTGTTGATTGTTGCCGTAATTTAAAACTGGTATAACTGTATACAGCTGTGAAATTATGCGTATTCTAGGTATCCATGTGAATCAGCGTTAATCTTTTATACCGAAGAACATATTCATAGATTATTATATCGATTCGCTGGCAAATTAACAGATACTACTATTGCCATGATGGGTAGGCCCATCCGAGGAAGTATCACGGCCTAAAAGAAGACCGGCGAGGCGTGATTTATAAGTGTTATACTGCTGTGTTTCATCCGGTGAGTGAGGTAACCGAGGCTCACTTTAGTAAAAGTGGCAACGCATTTACAACTGGCTTTTGCAAATGTTGCAAATGTCCTTTGGTGGTGGTTGACATTTAATTAATTAGGTTGACAGGTGACCAGCCAGCTCACTTCCTATCTTCTCTCTTAAAAAATAATATTGATGTATATTCTTCGTGTAAATACGGTCAATCATGAGAAATTACTTGTTTCTACCAAAGAGAATGTAATCACTACGTTTATGGTTTCTACTTTCAACGGTACATAATTGGACGAAAAGATGACGCCAAACATTGCTTGAAAAAAAATTTACATCTGTACGATAATGCCATCTGTGCTGTGACGTCCCAGACATTTGATATATGTCATTGTCACCTATGTCACAGTCAATACAAACTGTCAATCACTAATCAGTAAAGATACAGCTTTTGATATCATAAATTAATTCTTTTCTTCAGAGAAATGTGTTAACACTTGTTTTAGCCTAACAAATGTTGTTGTCTTAAACTTTATACAATAAAAGTCTATATTATCGATCTTTTCGGTTACAGTGATATTTTGTTCAAGACATATACGTAAATAACGACGATGGCAGAAGAACTCAAACCTGTGAATGAGGAAGACTTGAAACTACTAAAAGAAAGAATGAAATTAATTGTCAGTGCGGATCCTGCCCAGTATCACAATGATTATTCCTTACGAAGATACCTAAGAGCTTTTAAAACCGTGGATAACTCCTTCCAGGTATCATCTGTAATCCCTTATCTGACATGTATGTTCTCCAAATTGACACGTCTTTTATTGTAACTGATAACTAATGGTAATAACACTATAAAATATTCGTCGTTTTTCTTGTTTTATATACACAAAAAATTGAAATTAATATTGATGATTAACTTGACCAACATTTTCTTTTATAAAAACATGGCAACTATAATATCTAATAATTTTTTTACTCTGATTTAAGGCAATTATCAAGACAAATAAATGGAGAACGGAATATGGAGTAGCTGATTTGCATAATGATAAAGAGCTTATTGAAAAATATAGTAATAAGGCAAGGGTACTTAGACATAGAGACATTGTTGGCAGACCAATTGTTTATATTCCAGCAAAAAATCACAGCTCTAGTGAAAGGAATATTGATGAGCTCACCAAATTTATTGTATATTGCCTGGTTTGTAGTTCAATTTATTTATATTTCAACTTTAACTTTTATTTGCTATAGTAAAAATATTTGTACAGTAAAGGGTAACCTTATAATAAGACCAAATAAATAATATAGTAAGGAGTTGAATCTAGATTTATATCTGGTATGCATCTTTTAAAACTGTAAAACAATGGATATAGAGCAGGAAAGATCGGAAGGGACACTTGGTAGGATAACCACATAAATTAATACTTTAAAATATTTAGCCAGTTATTTATTATTTTCAGGATGATGCAAGTAAACGCTGTTTTGAAGAAGTAATTGACAATTTATGTATTGTCTTTGACTTAAATGATTTTACATTGTCATGCATGGATTATCAAATGCTCAAAAACCTAATTTGGTTACTTAGTAGACACTATCCAGAAAGACTTGGGGTTTGTCTAATTATCAATGCACCAACATTCTTCTCCGGTTGCTGGGCGATTATTAAGGGATGGTAAGTTACCATTCATTTCAATTTCAAATAAATAAATCTGAAAATTTCAAATTTAATAATACTATAAATGTGAACATTGGTTATTAATTAATTTAGATTTTACGTAATTAATGGATTTGCATAAAATTTACATTTTATGAAACTTCTATACTCCTAAATGCACTCATACCTTTTATTTCAGGCTAGACGAAAATACAGCTGGCAAAGTAACATTTGTTAATTCCGAAATGGACCTCTGCCAGTATCTTATTCCAGACATCTTACCAAATGATATGTAACAGAAACAGTGAGAAAACAGCTCTTCATCCAACAATGGTACTATGCATGGATGTAGAGGTAAAAAACAATATGATTCTAATTATAAAACAAACTTACAAGTTTTAAATAATCTTTAAAATCTACTAGAGGCAAAAAGATATTAAAATTTAAAATATCAACAGTGTCCAAGTTAATACAATTAATATAGAAATTGAAATATAAAAGGTTCTTTCAGGGAGTAAACTAAAAATCAATATTATTGTGTTTTCCCTTTTATATACTACTTATTATGTTTTTTAATAGATGTGGCCAAAATGCATAGTCCTAACAGAAATTATAAAATGTTAAAATTATTGTTAAATATACTAAATATGTAATAAATAGTCAAGTAAGAAACTAAGTTTACAAGTTAGTTACTAAATGTGATGGTACTAAGAAAATTTACTTACTGTATTGATATATTTTCACCATTAATATTATAGTTATTATAAAATTTTGACGCTTATATATTGCATTGCTTAATAAATCAAAATTATTGAATGTTCTAAGTGGTACATTTATAATTTCAATCAAGTGCTCACTTGCTAACATCGGAAATCACATTTTTGTTTTTTACATTAATATATTCAATATTGTTGGCATAAATAGCAGAATAGGGCCTCTTTAAAAAAAAATCACATCATAATCATTTGATTTGAGTACAATTTATCTTTTAAAGTGACTTTTAAATTTCATCTTGAGTGCCTATTTATATAAAAAAAATAAAATAGTTACATATTTTCCCTTTATTTTGAATGTATAATTCATTTATTTCAAAATTTCTATAGGAAAGGCAACATGTCCCATTCAAATAATATTTGAAAGCGAATTAACTTTGAATATTAAATATTGATAAATAAAAAGGAATATTTTTTGATAGTAATTACTGCTATTTCCGATCCTTTATATATAATCCCTTTTTCTTTCCATTTCCGCTTAAATTTTATTTTAATATCTGTTTCGGAGTCTGCTTCCATTATATCACTTCTGTTGCATCATGGATTAAAGTTATTATTGTTATAAAAATTGAAAATTAGAGCCACTGATGTTGGTATGAATTATGTCAGAATTAAAGCCTAAAAAGAAAAATAAAAACCTTCCAATGTTACATTCATAGTCAAGATTTAAATTAAAAAAGGTGCCATATGTACACATACATTCATTCTTTCACTTGTATAGTTGTGACTTGTAATTGTAACAATGCATTTTAATTACATAATTAAAACAAAAATTAATAGATATTAGATCTAGTCAAGCTTAAATCAATATGAAAAAATACATTTATCCATAAATTACGCCTAATAAACATACTTAATTTTTTTTATAATACGAATTCTGAATATGAGTTACAGGTGTCTGTTTATCATAAATACTAGTTAGGTATTTTTTGTAGTTATGTGTAACATAACTTTGGAGAAAAACATTGTGATTATACAGCGTGTCGTTACAACCGCGACATTAAATGAACACACATCTAACGCTACTTGCCAATAATCATAAAAAATATAAAACGTTAAAAAAATCCATAAATTGTTGAAAAATATATTTTTCAAACAAACTAATTAAATAAAAAAGAAACAAAATTTGTAACATCCTATACAACTACAACTGACTGATTCATACATTCGGAGACTTTTTCATTCGTTGCCACAACGTCGCATTACTTGTTTCTACTTCTAACGGTATGTTTTATCTCTTTTAAATTCATTCAAGCCATTCATATGCTTTGTGACCTTTACAAATGAACGTTACAATTTTATACGTTTTACGTTACAGTTTTATACGTAAGGGTGTTCTAAAAATGTTTGTTTTGTAAAATTTAATAACTCGGTAAATATTGATGTTTAAAGAATGTAAATGCTTAATACAATTTTAAAACGTTATTCTCTATATGTGTGTTCATTTATTGTCACGGTTGTAACGACACACTGTATAGTCCAGAAGTTAAAGTTCAGCCCTGTTTATTTTTAAAAGATTATATACACCATCGTTACGTTTAATAATAGATTGTGAACTGTATAGATTAGCCCCAAATATTACTTATATACTTTTATTAACTATAACCCAATGATATTTTATACTATAGATAGCTGCTATTGGAATTAACTTTTCATATATTTTAACTTAAATGTTAATTGCTATACATTGAAAACTATACCTTAAAGTCAGGACGTTAGATTTCATTTTGTGAATGACGTACGATGTATTTGTGACAGTTTTCTCTCGCGACTTAATACAAAGTTTGTATTTTTAGTTAGTTGTTTATTTTTATTTATTTATTTAATCCAGTAATAAAGTACAATAACATAAATTATTCTCTGCCAAACTGTGATGCAGTTTGTCGGCAGCAATTCTCGTGAATAGTTACATCGATGTACTTCATCCTTACTATGTTAGTTAGGGTTGTGTTCATACTTAAATAAAAGTTATCGATATTTTAGTTACAATCGTGGTTAATTTTGAGATTCAAAAGCCAGTTCCGTTAGCCAGTTTTGTGTGCATTTCGCTCTATGAGCTGGTGAAGAATCTCGTTGGAGTAGCCAGTGTCTCTGATTGAACATGGTATTAGAAGGAGGTTCAACAAAGTTTGCGAGTACAGACCTCATTTTTATACATAACTGAGGTCTGTACTCGCAATCTGCCATTTGCGTTTATCCTATTATTAAGTTCATAAAACGACAAATTATGAAATTCATGAATATCTGAACTGAGTTTCTTACGCCGGTTCTTCTCAGGTCGTGCTTACCCGACAGTTTTTGATATCTAAGTAAGTGAATCTTCTATATTGGGACTTTGACTTTGACTTTGCCGACAGTTATATCTGTGATCGGGCAGTACATAATACAATATAATATATTAATAACAAAATCTACTTGTAACTAATTTGGACCCGTCTGTCAAAGGTCAGTCCGAGGGACTTAAACGGGATCAAATTATTTAATTTTTAGGGGCGGCGATGACCCACCAGAAAAGCCATATTATCTCAACAAATTCGCTTATAGTATAACGACCGATTGCTAATTTATCAACAAAAATAATTTTTTTGCACTCTTAAATTACGCAAAACGGCATTATAATAGGATTTATGATCACGAGGATATGTGTGACAGCGCGTGCGTCTCCAATCGCATCAGAACTCATAGTGCATTCAGTTCGGTTGGTGACACTTTCGCCTAACTGTGGTCGTCAGATTACAACCACATGGTACTTCCACTTGTTTTCTCTACTCGGTGATGGATAGGTTGTACGCTAAACTCACCGGTCGAAAGTGTTCCAATTTACAGAGTGACAGCACACATTCCCACATTTCGTTCATCATAACTTTCTCACAAATGTCGAATAGTGTAAAAAAAATAGCGCAACTATTTACATTTTTATGAAATATTTTGTCTCCGCGTCTTACCCTACCTAAAGTGAACTAAACAAAGAGTACTTTTATATATCTGAAACTAAAGACTAGACGTCGCAATTGGGACGTTTTCGTGGCTTCACTTTGCATTAAAAACATATCTGTAGTATAAAATATCATTGCTATTATCTATAATTAATAAGTACATCACAAACGTCATCGGACATTGGAAATAATTTAAAAAGCTATTTTAAATAATTTTAATAAAAATCATAAATCCATGTAATACGCGAGTACATAATTTGCTTGTTGTTTATAATGTTATAATCATAAAATATATAAATCATCTACTTAAAATAGTGTTCTCAGCTGAAATTTGATGATTAATGTACCTGATATTGAAATAAAAGTGTTGCATTGTGTTAATTGGTACTTTTCTTTCCCTGTCACAAAACTAGCCGTTATCTACACCAAATGATGATAAATATTCATAACTGAAGCTCGGGCCGCGGGAATCGGGAGGCATCATAGCGCGCCACTTAACGCTCCGCACACGTGCGTTTTTTCACTGCAGGATAGCAACACATAAGTGTTACATAAAGCCGACTGGAAGAATAACTCGACCAGGGAAGTTCTAAGACCTATCAGAAGATCGACGCAAAACTCAACTGTTTGAATGCATGGGACACATTATTTTTAGTTATACTTAAATCGAAAGTTCACATACAATTATTACTACAAAAGTATTTTTTGTTTTTTAAGAAAAGATTTAAGTTCCTGAACAAATATGAGCGTGTATAACGTCAAAATGAAAATTTCCAAGTCATCATTGCATACAGTTGATACAATTTTTTGTAATTGTTCAACAAACGGCGAAGTTGATCTTGGAATTTAAAAACTGATAAATAAAAATCACTGGAATTAATCTTAATCAGCAAGCAGAATTCCACCGTCCCCTATAGTTTTCGAGAAAAATCACCTATAGAGGTTCAAGGGTTAACCAAATAACTCAAGTGAAAGTAGGCTTTAAATTTCTTTACTTATGATAATTAAAGAAATTTAAAGCGTATCTCCCAACCACCTGTTCAAAAATAAAACAACAATATTAACTGCACTTATTTATTCGACTTAAAATTTAAAAAACCTGTTATACAAATTAATTGCTGTACAATCTCCAAGCGAATTACACTATTTGAACGAAAAAAACGTGGCTATTCGAATAACATATTGTACTGAAAGGGGACCTATGAATATATTGGGCTGGTTACATTATAAAACTTATGTGATCGTAGGTATATAAACCGTGATCCATACTAACATATTAACTAAGCAGTTGAAGATCACAAAAATAAACTTCACTTATACAATACCTAAACATGGGTGAAATACTCATAAATAAAACACTACTACGGCACAATCAAATAAAAACACGTGTACACGTACACACAGCGAAAGTCACATTATTCAGTCAGAGTTATACCTAAAAATAATATCTACACATATTCCGTCCAAAGTACTCGTAGTTTATCAATTAATTGGCACGTCAGTGTTCCTAAGGATCCGTGGCCCACAGCGCCACTAAGTTTAGAATAAATCCGCATTCACCTTGGAGCAAACAATTTACGGACAGAGAATGCTTTTTCAAATTTTATATCACAAACGTATTATAACTTGGAACGAATTGGGACAGCATTTCTTTTAAAGTCTCAAACTTTATGGAGTGTTAAAATTAAAAACCATTAGCCTACTGAGTTTATTGCATTTAATTCGTTTTACACGGTGATTTTGTCTTGAGACAGAGAATACTATTTTAAAAATACACCAACGGAATGTGCAACAGTCAAAATTGGAACTTTGCTTAGGGAAAAGCGGATGTCGGTTCTGTAACTCATTAAATTAAAAAAATCGGAATATCGATACGTGTAATGGCGCCCGCTTCCTATATTTAAATGTTGGCAGAACTGTGTAAAGAACTTTTGAAGTCAAACGAATAAAATGGATTTCTTAGTACAAAAAAATTGATTAATTCATTAGAGATTTATCTCTATCGTTTAAAATTTATTTGATTTGAATTACGCCGGAGTTAAAGTTATTTACCTTTACCGGGAAAAGCTATGAGTGAATAATAAAGAATAATATATAATAACAAAAACCAAACGATATCTTAATTTTTATTCTGTCACAAGAAAATACTTAGTCGTGGCTTCAAACTACTCTGGTAATGTTTGCTTAATAGAAATCAACAGACTATTCATATAGTTTGGTACACCTAACAAGTATATATGTACAAATAACCCTAAAGAATAAAATAATTGAATATAACATATGGATGAGTAGGTTGAAAGGTTTGATATGATTGTAAATACTAAAAAGGTTAAATATACATTTTGTGCGCTGATTTTTCGGCGTACAGTATATATAAATAGTGAATGAGATGGAACGCAAAAGCTGATATGTATACACGAGTTTAACTACGCAGTTGAAACTGCAAATTCACAGCTAATAATTGCGAGTAATTAACTTATTAGTCTTTATGGCAATGGCTGATAGTGATGCTTGTGAAACTTCTATCGCATAATTTACACGCATTCGACTTGCTGTGATTTGCCACGTTAATATTTGTGCCATGTCGGCAGTTCTTTCGGGAATGTGTTGAAGTCAACTCGAAATTATCTAATAACGAACAAAAATAATACTTAAAACATACATTGTGAACAATGTAGCATAAAATTATAATAAAGAAGAACATATTTTGTGCAGAACTAATTGTGTATGTGATGTGTTGTTTGCTATCGATTATATTTAAAACACATAAACTGATATATAAAATAAAGCAAAATGGGCTCAAGTTAATTGCGTCAAGCGTCTGATTTATTGTCATCGTACAGATAAAAAAATCGACGCATGTTTCTGAACGAATCGTTAAACGATTACGTACATAGATAACAGTTACTTCGTTGTACGGGAAATTTCGGTAGTCTACTATACAACCATTATAAAATTAAATCTTTAGTTTAATTAACATTTTTTTTAGATTAATAAATTGTACTTGCTATTCGACTACATCAATTAGTCAATTCCGAATTTGATTGTTTTAATACCTAGATGGCGTGCGTAATTCTAACTTTCTAGGGGACTACAGTAAATGTTTGCTTTTATTAGAAGATATTCAAAAACGTCCCTATAAATTAAAATAAGAATAAGTTATTAATGTAACTATAAAAGTTGTCAAAAGTACTTCCCTTATTTTTTAATTATTAAATTGAATATCAACTTCTTGTAGTTCTAACTGCTAATAGGTATCGCCGTGAGTACAAACATGTACTCGTTTCAAAATAATAATGATAATAATGAAACGAAGCAACAGTGAAAAAATTCATGAATATTAGGAAAAATTATACCAAAATAGAAATAAATATCTCTTTTATTCACCTAAGTTGGATAACATTCAGAATTTTTATTTTGAATACTACTCTAGTACTTTTGGAATGTCATATTTTAAGTCTCCAATTAATAAAACCTATATTCATTTAAAAACCATAAATTGACAATGCAAAATCATGATATGTACGTAAATAAGACTAATTTTATTTAAGGCTTGTGTTGAGAATAAAATTTTACAACATATATATGGAATTATGTCTTTTGCGTTGTTCAATTGCATCAAAGCATCTGGGTGGTTGTCCGCGTAAAATTTATATTTGTAAAACGTCCTTACAACACAGGATAATGTTATCCTAAAGTAAGATCATGTTTTTAAAAACGAAAAATCAAAAAAAATTGTTATGCTGAAATTGCGATGCTACATTTTAGATATATTCTTTCTTATTCATTAGCAAATTTATATTATATACATTTTATCTCGGTAATTTTTCAAGTCAGCCTAATTTTACATTGTATTAAGATTGTGTATTCGCAGCTGTCATACAATACAACATTTGCAAATAATCAAAATAATTGAGTATATGACAGGCTAAGAAGATGATGATCTGAATCCTTCTAAAAATCGTTTCTTTTTGTATTTTTACATAAAATAATACCAAATTGCAAGTTCGAAACATGAAAAAGAATCATTCAATATTCCATGTGAAGATAAATCACAGCTTGTTCGAAGTGAACCATTTAGAATTGCAAAAATCACCTAGCTAACGAGACGATATTCCTTCCCGTCGTTACAAACGGATACATATCACAGCGTTGCACGTTGTGGACTGTTTCGATTCGATTAATTGTTGGATTTGCCAACCCGGTACGTCGAGGGTCGCGGTGGCCAATATTAAAAAATGACAGTGTTTTTGTCTCCGTACCTTTCACTAACTTCAATTTGCTCCTGAAGTTCATCAGAATTGTTTAAGAGTTTTGCCCTCTCGTTCGCACCGCTTTCTACGTAGCTTTCTGTCTTATTCACACTATACATCGGTACGCACGTACTATAATGTTGATAGAAGACATTACATAGATTTGTGTAATTTATATGTTATAACTGACTGTATATGAGCAGAATCTGTAGAGACTACAGATCTACAGGCGTCATCGTCATAGTCCTGCCGTAACAAGTTGGTAACAACGAGTGTGTGCATAAACCTTCCATATACAAGGTGATTTCCTTTTTTATTTCAAACTGATTATTCAACAATTTCTCAGTTCATCGATATTTGTTTGCCGCTATCGTGCACATCACTACCTCGCCCCGACTAGCTAGACGGATTGATGAACGGTGAACGGTTTTATATACAGGTCTTACAACTCTGGGTTTCGACGTGACTCTTAACGTGCCGCTATGGCGTTGCAATCGAGATATATATATAGTGCTTCAATCTTTATTAATTATTCGCAACTCACGAACAACCTTACACCGAAAACTTGAACGAAACAGACATGGAGTACATTACACGTTATTTGATTTAAGAAATGTAGATTATGTTGATGAATCTCTCGACCGCCACGCCATCCGGATTTTCCTTCAACCGAGTCACTGCCTTCAATTGCAATCCGAGTTGTCAAGGTGACACCGTGGGCACCACGAAAACTCCTGCTTCGACCTGCGATATTCGGGTCGGGACTGAGCTCAATGTTTTGTGTGGAATGGGTTGGGCAGAGGGCCCAACGGCCACTGCGACCTAGAAGGTCTATCGCGGTCCGGGACTGGTTAGTGCTAATGCGCCCACAATCCGCACCGGGGGCGAGTATATCGACCGGAGTGCGTCAGTCGAATCGAACGAGACAGTCCGTTTGGGACGAAACGAGTGGAGAGCGGCCGCACCGTTTCAAACGGGCGACGCTCGGAGCCGTCGGCTGCGCGGCGGGGTGGTGGGGCTAGCGGGGCTGGTGGGGGGCACAGGGAAGCGGGGAGCGTGGGCAGGGGGCGTAGGGAATGGGGGGCGTGGGGGGCGTGGGAGGGGGGCGTAGGGAAGTGGGGGGCGGGGGGCAGGGGGCGCAGCAGCGACAGCAGGAGGCGCAGTCAGTCGCGCAGCATCGCGCTCAGCTCCTCCTTGAGGGCGCGGAACGACGGCCTCTCGTCGGGCGACTGCCGCCAGCAGGCGCGCATCACCTGCCGCAAAACATTGAAGCTGTTTTTAACTCGGGCCGAAAGTATGGCGAAAGGTGCCACAGTAAAGTGGACACAAATTAGTGGCGCTGGTGTATTATTTAACTCGGGCCGAAAGTACGGCGAAAGGTGCCACAGTAAAGTGGACACAATTAGTGGCGCTGATGTTTAATTATATGCGCGATGTCAATCTGTGATTACACGGCGGCGTAGTTGTTTCGAAGCACGGTTTCGTGGGTTCGATTCCCCACGCGGGAGAAGTATTTGTGTGACCCCAGATGATTCCGGGTCTGAGTGTATATTACTACGGAAGAAGGACATTGAAGTCGAGCAGGCGGCTGGTCGTAAGAAAACTGTACCATTAACAGCATTCATTGGTTTTGCCGACCGTACCTAGGTGGGATAAGGGCAGGACAAACGTGGCCTATTAAACAACAAAGCATTGATGCTTTAGTGTTTTGTCTGCTGGGTGAGGAAGCCGGGACTAGCTCTCTTAAAGCTTGTCAACGCAACTGCAACCACAAGAGTTCTGTGCATATCTATCAGGGGCATTAGAGAGGTAAGGAGGTTGTTAATTTTCCAACACTCTTCTAACCGCTATGTCATTTATTTATTTAAAAAAATATTGTTTACACCCAACATAAGGCCAAACAAAAGGCAAACTTAATGCTAATAAGCATTCTCTTCCTCTCAGCCCTGGGAGTAGTGAAAATTTGACGTAGGTGCAAAACAAAAATCCAAAATTCAATTTTTAAAAAAGAAAAGCTAAAAAAAGGTACATATTATATAAATATACCAAACGCAAACATGCATACTACAAACTATTAAATACATATGTATTCCAATGTTCAATATTGCGTTCTTAAATATTGTTGGCAGTATTTAATAAGGTGGCAAGACTGTTGGTTACACTTTTATGGTATATGTGTCATAATAATACAAATAATTTATTTAAGTAACGGGGGCGAGGGAACATGGTCCTTCGCTAACCAGACTCATAGGCTGTTGTTATGAATCCATCGATCAAATATCTTTATTCAAATAGACACTTGCGCTTTCTAATGAATTGTCAAATTTTACATAAAAAAATTATATATACTGGTTCGTAAGTACCACAAGATTTAAGGATATAAATGTTGCAGTAGCAAATGATAACGGGTTCGTTTTACGGAAAGTGAAATTGGTGTTTTACGTTTGTGTTAATTGTTTTTCATGAGCGAGAATTTGTTTCTATGAGTATTAATGTTTTAGATTTTTAATAAACACTCACATTATATATTTCTATCAAACACCCCTTCGGCCTCTCGAGCACTTGGCCCCTCTGTACCATCTCGACGACGTCGTTGTTCTTCATCCTACCGTAGGGCACTTTGCCGCAAGTGAACACCTCCCACATTAAAACACCTGGAAGTACCGATAAAAGTTTTTAAATTAACGTTACGTTCTATTTTATGTTGATTCATTGATTTCTTGATTTTACGCGAATATTATACATATTAAATGAAAATAGTTTACCGATTTATCCCGTTTTAATTTGGATAATTCCTGACGGTTCGAAACCCTTTCCAGCGTTCATGGTCATGGGACAAAACTAAAATATTTTATTCACTAAACTCAGACTTAACTTACGTTATTATACAGGGAGGCTTTTCTAATTGTATCCAATTTTTTTATTAAATTCTAGACATAAATAATGTTATATAAAAATGATAAATATTTAAAATCACTCTGTAAATTAATTAATTACATTCATTTGAACTTATCTCAAAAAGTGTGTGATTTATGGGCAACTCATTTATTTTACGCGCGTTCATTCATAACTAACACGCACACAAGTTCGTTTCAAAAGTATACAACGCATTTATGAATGACTACCGCAGTGTCAACAAGTTTTTTTTTTAGAGAATAGAATGGTATTTTTTTTTTTTTGAAAATTTTATTTTCAATAAACGATTATACTACGGAGTCTGAACCTCCTGTGTGAATTTGGGCACCTTTAGAAAAGCCACCCTGTATAAATCAATGACAAATCAAGCTTTTTTTATTGTACGACATAGATTTATTTACGCCTTGTACGAACTAAAGGGAGTCAATTGCTACTAGGTACATGATTTCTTCATTGTTAACAATTCTGTGCAGCTTTGTGATGCGTTTAATTCGGAAATGCGTTTTTCACGGTACGGGATGTATACTAGTACTAAAGTACATAAACTTGGGGCATCTTATCAGGAGTTATCATTATGTTAACTACAAAAATTTGATTGGTATGCTCAAAACCATTATTTCAGCGTACAGAAAAGTCTCTCGGTTCGGTTAAGTTCGTTTTGGTTTCCGATTCTTAACGGAATGAATTATCTCCATTAAAAAAAAACTTGTAATTCAAAATCTCCAAGTCAAGCGAAGACGCGGGTTCGATTCCCACAGCGGCGAAGGAGTTTTCGTTCCTCTTTTGCTACAAATTAAAAAGAAAACTACGAGACGCAAGCAAACTCGGGACATACCGAACGCCCAGACGTCCGATTTGGAGGAGAATCGCGTGTAGTTGAGCACCTCCGGTGGGGCCCACTTGATCGGGAACTTGGTGCCGCCCGAGCTGGTGTACTGGTCGTCCAGCACGTACCGCGCCAGCCCGAAGTCCGCCACCTCAGGGGATGAAAGTGGAATGAACTGAAGCAAGGGCCTATGTACGCCTTAGAGTTATCTTAATAAACTTTTTATGAAACGTAAAATAAAGATTCTATGCACCAATGAACCAACGCGGTGATTGGAAGGGATCGTAAGAGACATTATGTTGCTCTCTGAAATCCGCCCTTGTTGTAATAAATTTCGAAAAAAAAAAAAAAGTAAAAAAAAACGTTGTCGTTTTAGGTTTTTTTTATATATATATAAAGTCAAAATCATGATTTTCTTAATTAGGTCCCTTTAATTCTAGAATGCGTATAATCCACGGCTCAGCAAAGGCCTCCTCTTAAGGAGGGTATAAGGGTTATAATCCACCACGCAGCTCCAGTGCGGTTTGTCGGACTTCACACATCTTTGAAACATTTTCTTTGTTGTTGTTCATAAAAATATTTTAACAGGTTTCCTCACGACGTTTTCCTTCACCGTCGAGCACGTGATATTTCAACAATTAAAAGTGACAATTATTCCATTGGTGCCGGCACCGGCATTGAATTAAAGGCGAGCGCCCTGATTTTGAATAGACAGTAAATGCAATGAACAAACTAAATTGTTAACAGTAAATGCAATGTACAATAGTTTCTTCTTCTTCTTCTTCTTCTTCTTCTTCTTCTTCTTCAATGGAGTCCCGTTTCAGTTCACTTAATATTTAGCGGAATAATAAAACGGGCTAACTCACGTACAATCGATGTATATTAATCTCATTGACCCCGATAATAATGTCTCGCTAAAGTTTTTAATAATGTTATTAATCTTTGTCAAATTTTACGGTATCCAGATTACACATTGATTTTTGAGAAATAATGATAAGTAAAAATGAATTCGGAGTTCTTTCTGTATGTGTGAACAAGAATGCAGATTAAAAACGTTTAATGGGCAGCATTTGATTGATATAACGATTAGAAAACACGGAACGCGTCCTTCACTACCTTCACGACATTCGCTTCTCCGACCAGACAATTTCTCGCCGCCAGGTCTCGATGTATGTAATTGTGCCTTTCAAGATACGCCATTCCTTTGCACACCTGTAAATCGATAATTGACAAGTTTATTTCAACAGTTAAAACGGATCGATACATAACGCCTCTAAACATAACGCTACATTATTATCGTGATCAAATAATATGTTCATGGGAAGCTGAGGTTTCGACACTTAAAATATTAATGGCGAAAACGATAAATATGACTATCAGCTACTTTACAACGTAATCCAATTTGTTTATCATGGAACGGTTAATATTTCGAAAATTTGTAAATTCTTATTAGTTACTAACGAATAGGAAATTACCCTGTGAGTAATGCAGACGTTTTTACATACTAATCTAATAACTTGCGTCGATTGTCACATAGAAAACGACTTAATTTCTAACAGGCTATTAGTAAAAATTTCCTTTTACTTGCCGCGACAAGCTCGAATTAAAATGTCAAAAAATTAGCCATAAACCATATACAAAAATACTCACTAAGGTAGTTACTAAAAAAACATAAAATATGTAAAAAAATATTCTTATATTAAACTCTGCGCTGATTTCTATTAGAGGTTAACGTTGTTCAAATCGTTGGTCCGGCAGTTTCACGTCAACCATTAATAGATCACCGTACGGCATCCCGCTCTAACGTAAGGCGTTGGTGAGGGACAATGAAGATGAGAGGGAGACAATGAAGCCGGTATGGTCCGCCGTCAATGTTAATCGGCATGCTGTGCCGCACTAACGTTAGGCGTTGAAATGAGACCGCGCTACACGAAACTCACGGGCCGCCGTTACGCTATGCCGCTCCGACTCAAGGCGTTGGAAAGGGACGGCGCTACCTGCAGGCACATGTCGAGCAGCACCGCGGGCCCCAGCTGGTCGGGCGCCGTGCGTCTCAGATAGTTGAACAGCGAGCCGTTGCACATGTACTCGGTCACTATGTAGATCGGCCGCCGCTTCGAGCAGACCCCGTACAGCTGGACCAGGTTGTCGTGCTGAAGTTTACTGGAAAGTGGGGGGTTTTTATTTTGAAGTTTTTTTCCCTCTCATTTTTCCCTTTGTGTTTAGTTACAACTGTTTTCGATAGCATTGTCTTTTGTTTCGTAATTTATAATTTAATATTGTTTAATGATATCGAAGCATGTAGTGTAGATAATTATATTTTGGTAGTATATTCAGGGTTTTTATTACGGGATGAAATTTATTATTTTGGGAACGAAGGAATGGTGAATTTCCTATACGTTTTGACATTACTCCTCGCAGTCCTCGCCTAAATACTGGCCAATCTGATACTGTTCAATCTCAGTGTAGTAAAACTGTCTGTAATCTCATTCTGTCTAGTTTTAATATCAAAGTCTAACTGTCCATCCGGTTAGGAAGGACCTAGTTTTTTTTTTTATATTAAAAAGTGGCAAACGAGCTGGCGGTTCACCTGATGCTAAGTGATAACCGCCGTCCACGGACATTTGCAACACCGGCTGAAGATGTGTTGCCAACTTTTAACAAAGGTAGCCGGACCTCGCTCACCGGGCGAAACGCAGAAGTGTTACACTTCCATTTTAGGCCCGTCCTCTGCTAGGTCGTGGTACTAACCGTGCCGGACGGACTTGCCCATTCGTGCAGCAGTGAACACCGTTGCGTGGTGTGATAGGACCAGGTACTCAAAAGGTTGGTCAGGTTGGTGTTCCAACATGAACAATGAAGAATGGCAACAGCGGCATCGGAGGTCGCCCGTTGACCGCCATTAAGGGGAAGAGAGCGGGTCCGCTCACGTCGTGACCTTGAATAAATTCCAGCCACTCACGTCGTGACCTTGAATAAATTCCAGCCACTCACGTCATGACCTTGAATAAATTCCAGCCACTCACGTCATGACCTTGAATAAATTCCAGCCACTCACGTCGTGACCTTGAATAAATTCCAGCCACTCACGTCATGACCTTGGCCTCCTCGATGAAGTCGTCCTCGGACATGGTGCCCTCCTTCATCATCTTGACGGCGGCGTCCCTGGTGCCGTAGAGCTTGCCGCGCCGCACCACGCCGAACTGGCCGGCGCCCAGCTCCTCGTGCAGCACCAGGTCGTTGGGGTCGATCTCCCACTTGTCTGCCGACATACGGTCCGTTCGAGCACTTCCTTTTAGGCGAGAAGTCAAGTGATTACCGCCGCCCGTTTATACAGGGTGGCTTTTCTTAAGGTGCCCAAATTCACACAGGAGGTTCAGACGCGGTAGTATAATCGATTATTGAAATAAAAACATTTTTTTTTTTCATAAAAAAATTGCCATTCCATTCCCTAAAAAACAGAACTTGTTGACAATGCCGTAGTATATTCATAAATGCGTCTTATACTTTGAAACGAACGTGTGTGCGTGTTAGTTATGAATGATCGCGCGTAAAATAAATGAGTTGCCCAAAGTTGAGTTGAGATAAGTTCAAATGTATTTAATTAATTACGAGTGATTTCGAATATTTATAATTTTTTATATAACATTATTTATGTCTAGAATTTAATAAAGTAAATGGATACACTTAGAAAAGCCTCCCTGTATATGCAACAGCAGTAGGGTTGCAGATGAAAACAATTTGTAAAAGCTACCCTAATGGCAAGGGCCTATTAGAATGTCCAAGAATATATTGAGGACAAGGATGTGCGGAAATGACTCAAGCTCAGCACTTGCGAGACCCCTGGCTGCTGCTGATTTTATACCTAAATAAGTTTGTATAATTGCATCACAAGAAAAATATCAAAAAGAACAAGAACGCAAAGTTTCTTGCTGGTTCTTCTCTGTTCTGGTCTAGTTTAGTGAACCGGTGGTAGTTTTTTTGTTGACGTTCAATAAGAGCTTAAGTTCAGCCTATTATGTATGGTTCTGTCGTGGGTCAGTGGTGGTTCATTGAGGGGTGAGTGGCGGGTCAGTGTTCGGCAATGGTGGGTCAGTGGTGGGTCAGTGACGGTTGAGAGGCGGGTCAGTGTTGGGCATTAGTGGGTCAGTGGCGGTCATACCGTGGGAGAGGCCCGCGGTGGCGGGCGGGCGGTCGCAGGGCGTCGCCTTCAGTCGCGAGCAGAGCCCGCCGCTGTTGTGCTTGTGGTAGTTGATCAGGTCCGGTATGCTGGCGCAGCAGTGCTTGTCCGACAGGTAGTACTCGCCAGTGTCCTTCTGCTTTATGTGGTAGTGCTTCGTCTGCGGGTGGATGCTGCGGGAGAGGGCGATGACATTTGAGATGATTCAAGGGCATGGGAGGCGTCCACGTAGGCGACAACGTTGTGGTGACAAGAAACGTATCCCACCCCCCTCCATATGCATAATGTGGGATGGCTTCACAAGAAAGTTGACCGCCACTTCCCCACACGCTTGCAATCGAACGAACATTAATACTTTCTACTTGTATTACTCGCGTGACAGCTGCACTTGGCGGGACCACTCAGCGTTAGGGCATTGAGGGAAGTCTCTTAAAGTGGACGTAATTTTTTTTCTATTGCAGTAATAAAAATCTGTTATGGATAAATTCAGCAGTGATGTCCAAACAATCTCTTTAAACATTCACGCAAGTTCATGTGTTAGCGCTGATGAATTACTTTATTTTTTTTATGTGCAAAGTTGCCAAACGAGCAGACGGTTCACCTGATGTTAAGTAAATACCGCCGCCCATAGACATCTGCTACACCCGAGGGTTTGCAGATGCGTTGACAACCTTCTTGGAAATTATTTCCACTTTATTAAATTTTTTTTAAAGGTGCAAACGCATCTGCAACCCTGAGTGTTGCAAATGTTCATGGGGTCACTTTATTATGATTAAAAGGTAGCAACGCATCTGAAACCCTAAGGGTGTTCATGGGCGGCGGTTATCACTTAACATCAGGTGAACCGCCAACCCACCGCAGCGCAGGCCACCTTCTTACGTAAAGAAATACTTTATACTTACACTTTGGTATACAGCGACAGTGTGTACATCCCTTTGGTGGAGGAGTTTCGCACGACGAAACAGCCCTCCTTGTCTTCCTGCTTGAGGAGGGATTCCGCGTGCTGTCTGGACATTTCGCCGACGTACCATCTGTAATCAAAATATTGCATGTATTTAAACCCCCGTCTTTTTTTTAGTATCGGGGGAAATCTTCGAAAGATACCCTGTCACCCTACATGATAGGGTTATGTGGGGTTCTTACCCACTAAAAACCCTCAGTGGCCGCTTTCCGTACATTTGGAGGGACTCCGGGACTTTCTATGGAACGCACCGTCGTCCCTCGGTATTACGCGTGTGCACGCCTCGGAGAATTCTCTATTCTATTTTTATTATATTATAAATTTATTATTTATATAAAATTAAAAGAATTTATGATTTATATTATATTATAAATTCTCCGATTCCGTCGCCCAATTGCAGCAGCACGAGACCACTTCGTGCTGCTGCCAATCCGTGTCCCCTCTTAGTCGCCCTTTACGACAAGCAGCCTTAGCCCTATTCTATGAGCGTGGGACTACAGAGCTGTTAATACCCATCTCTAGGATTTCGTGATATAGTCTTTTAAAATATAATATCTGTATGGCGGTTGTGGGATAATAGATTGCATCGAAAGCTTCAAGAATACCGCTCGGCTCAGCTCTATCATCGATGTACAAAATATCACTCGAAATAAGAGATGGTGACACTGAGATGACTTCTTAAGTTTTTGATTTCTTCACTATGAAGCCATGTTTTAGACAAAGCTGTCAGACATAGCTTTGGCAACTGTCGTTCCAATCCGGACTTCTCACATAATAAATTATGATAATAAAAAGTGAAATTTCCTATCTCTAATATCTTTTGGAAACGTGAATGACAATTTACTTGATACTTATTATATTCATAAAAATACTTCATAATTATAAGACAATCCTACCTAGATAGTGTCGGCACAAAATGTGAATCATGTTGTTAATGGTATAGCTGTATGTTATGTCAACCATCCTTGGGAAAAAAACACCCAGATCTAATAGGACTTGTCCCGTGCGGTAATCGAACTCACGCCAAATGCCAAAGCTAATCGCGTGGCAACTGCACCACTGTCTTATATAGGGTGATTTTATAGACGACGGACATATTAACAGAGCATATGCAGAATTTTATTCTAAATCTGAATATGGTACGTACTTGTGACTTCATTTTCTTTTTCAAAGATTATATTTAATGTTTTTCAAATAAAGTAAAATAATTATATTTTTGGAATGATCAATTAACATTATGTCAAAGTATGTACTTCGTCTAAAAAATCACTCTGTATATTGACATAGTACTTATGTTATATTTGCTAAGTATAAAAAATTTATATATAAAACAACGTAAACTTACTCATATTTCTGTAAGCCTATTGTTTCCTTTTCCTTAACGTAGTTGCTTGGTATATATCCTACTGACCTGTAAATGAATACCACAAAGTATAAATACATCATCTTTCGTTCAAAACACACGTAACTTCTTCTTACTCTTAATAATTAATAAGACACTTGTTATTTAAAAGTCTAGATTAATTTTATTGCATAAATCTACCAATGATGGCAGTTAAATTACCCGTTCAAAGATTTAGCTATTCGTAATTATTATCATAAACATGTTTTTAACAATAAGAATGCGAGTATAGGTCGCTACTATCGTGTAAGCACAGATACAATTCTAACCTTTTGTATAATTCAATCATACAATAAAAGTATTTTTGGCACATATATATAATTCATTAATTCTCACCTTCGCACATCAGTAGTATCGTTTAATGATTATTATTGTTCCTGGCTTTAATTCCATTAAAAAAAAACAGTTCTTCATTGCAAAGGCGTCTTATAAACACAAATATAGAGAAACAAGAATCTATTGTGGGCTTCAAACAAATTCTATAATAGCATACGGAATGTAAACGGTACCTAAAATAATTTAATAAATCTTGTGATCTTACACCGGCATTGAAACAGCAAACAACCAACACTTTGGATGATATCATAGTAAATTAATAACCCACTATCCATTAATTGCTTCCATCGGATAGAACTAAAACGCCTCCAAAACATTATGTAAATCGCTCCGAGACAAAACGGGCTTTTAGTTTTGTAAATTGCATTACCGTATTTAAGCTTTCCTTCATTTAATTAACACCGTCGATTACTTTAATGGACGCCATTTTGTCTTATAGATTAGCATTGTTTGCGTTGGCTAGTAATTTGTCGCGAAACATTAAGTTTTGCCTTCGACGGTATACCGTGAAACTTAACACTAAATAAATATACGTATGATATGAATATTATATGCAATATATATTAATATTCAAAGATCTTTTCGTGAGTTTTTACCGCTAACTTATGTTAGAACGTTAAAAAGAAAATTTGGTTTTTTTAGTATTTTCTATGAATATGTGATGTCGCTTTAAAGTCATGTTTGGAAAATCGTAACAAAATCAAATAGCCAGATGATTTTAAAATGAAATAAAACGGCCAATCTGTGAAGGCATTATCAGCGGACATGAGCAAAGAATCAACACATACATTTGTCAAAATCATTTAACTCACACACACAAATTGACATGCATATGATCGTGACACTTTGAAATTTATTCAATTCACTGTAATGGATAATAAATTCTAATGACAAATATGTACTGCTTGGCTGATTTCATCTGAAATGATTTTGTACTAATTTCAACTCTACAAAACAGAGTTTAAAGTTGAAATTTAATATTAAAAGAAAAGTCTAATGCATAAATGCATTTTGGTTTTTAAAGAAACAAATGTTAAAACTAATAAATCAATTTATGTCGAAATATCAAAACTAAAAATTTGGCAGTTCACGTAAAAGGCAATGCTACTTTATTTTAAATACGGAGAAGACCTTCCCGGACTTTGAAGGAAAAATCAAATCTAGGATAAATATCATGTTCATCATATTACGATATTAATAATAAATAAAAAAAAATCACTAAAGTCGTTTATTTAAAAATATGTCGATCTACAAACGTTTTTGGTTTTTCAAAAGCAAAGATGTTTTCAGTATCGCTTTAGGTTTCAGAAATAACGTACAAATCAACGAACGAAGAGAACTAATTTAGCCTCTATCAAAAAATAACCAATTACAACTTGAGTCAACAAAATTCCAGTAAATTTTGTTGACTCCCAACTTACTCCACTCATTTCAACCACTAATACTCAGTATTAAGACACAGTCGGTTCAAAATCTAGTGGTCAAAATGAGTTTGAGAAGCAAACCACGCCTTTTCGCCACAGTGACGGCGGCGAAAGGACATTATCGAAGAACAATTTGCTCCACTGACCCGTTTTCGTCTTTGACTTTCCACCAGTGTTCTTGAGAGTCGTCGACCACCTCGTACTCGGCGCCCTAAAACGAAACGGCCTTCAATAACGTATGCAACGGAAGCGACTTTGACACCTGCGCACGCAGCAATAGGGCTCCGAATCGGACGCACCTTCTCCAGTGAAAGGTCCCCGCTTTCGATGGCTTTGAACGGATACAGCGCCACCACTATTTTGGTTTTCTGTTTCTCCTGAAATGAGATAATGATCACTCGATAGCGAATTTAAAAGAATAATTGAATACAAACAATAATTTTGAGTGGTTCGCGTGTATATGCTACATGTATTAATAGTCTCACTATCACTATTAAGAACGATGTAACAATTACTTAGACATAAAAAGTAAAGTAAAGTAACATCCTATACATGTCCCACTGCTGGGCAAAGGCCTCCTCTATACAGAGGGTATCAGGGCATAGTCCACCACGCGGCCCCACTGCGGATTGGCGGACTTCACATATCTTCGAAATATTTTTTTGTTATTATTTCGAAAATATGCAGGTTTCCTCACGATGTTTTCCTTCACCGCGGAGCACGTGATAAGTCAGCACTTAGAGTTAAAAACTTCATTGATGCCGGCACCGGGGATCGAAATCAGGTTGCTCGAGTATATTGAATTAAAGGCGAGCGCCCGGACACTGAGCTATCACGGCTCTACTGTACTACTACATACTCTCTCTACTACATTGTAAATCTAAATATAAATAAGGATGAAATTAAATGTTTTTATTAATTATCAATGCTAGAAGGCACGTTTAGAAGGAATTTTTTTGTTAAAGACTGCTCATTAATAATAGATTAAAAGCTACTTAATGCCGTCAGTTACTAGACTATCTCTACTCTATTTGCGGACTTGTATTAAACTAAACATTAACAATCAAAAGTGTAATGGAGGTTACTACCTACCGAAATTTACGCTTGTATCTTATTAATTATAGCATCGCTCGAAACTGAAATTTCCATGCATAGCAGTTGACATTCATCATCGTCACTCTCCTGCCCATATACCACCTAGATGGGGTCGATACAACATATGAATCATGTTGTAAGCTGTTTTGGCTATGTTTTTTACGACCTGCCGCCTGCCTGACGTCAACCTTTCTTAGGAAACAAACACCCAACAACAACTATTATCTGTGGGTCACACAAACCATTGTGTGACCCACAGATAATAGTTCCCGTGTCCCGTGTGGGAATCGAACCCACAACCCCCGACACCGAAACCAATAGCTTAGCAAAGGCGGCACCGAGTTGGTGGTTATTTATTCCTACCGCCATTTAACCAGTGTGATGAATAAAGGATATTTATTAGTTATTAAAAAATCCACTACTATAGTAGCATTCAATATAACACCCATACATTTGTATATCCTGTAATTGCTGTAGTCGTGGATTTGATTACTACCCAGGAAGAGTATTTACTTAATCGTCATCATCATTTCAGCCTGTTTTAGTCCACTACTAAAAATAGGCCTCCCCCACAGACCGCAACGAAGAACAATCCCGAGTCACCTGCATCCATCGACTTCCAGCACACTTGGCACAGGTCCATCTAAAACGCGTCGTCCTACACTACTTACTAGGCTATTTTCTTAGTAAATTTAAATTAGAATTAAACAGGAGCTAAGCGAGCCCACGATATGCGACTGTAAAGCTTAATTCGGTAACTGTGCAAAACATGTCTTAGATATTCTAAGGGGTTGCTCACCTTTGGTTTGGTTGAGGGGGTGCCGGGCGCGGGCGCACCGCCCCCGGGCATCGTTACCGCAGCGGTGACAGCTGGACAAGACGAAATGGCACACTGAATATCACTTAGCGAGGCATCACACAAGGCGATCATATCGTTAGTATCACGTCCAACAAGTCCGTCAAGGCGACAAGGCGACAGTTAGACGCTTCTAGCTTCTTTTTTTATTTTATTTTTTATTATTAAAAGAACCGTGATAGCAGTATCCGTGCGCTCGCCTTTAATTTGTTGTGTTCTCGTGTTCTCGTGCTAATAGTTTTTCTGCAATACTAGGTTCTACCCGTGGCTTGGTACGCACGGGTGTTTTTGGTAGAAATATTACGTGCTATAAAGAAAAGTAGGAGCTTGTTATTCCAAAGAATAAGTTAAAATTTGCCCTATTCTGCGTAAACTACGATCACACCACATCGACGTTGTGGCACGAAAAGGTGGCAAATTCATAAACCTCTGTCATATTTAGTTATTCAGTTACTTATTATTAGTCAGGTGAAGATGATATAAAAGGTTTTCACTACAAATGTTACGAAACATAGAGAGCCATATCCCACCAAGGGTTTTTTGTTTGGATCGTCCACTGTTGGCCCTGATGGGGCCTTCTATCTTACAGATCCAACAGGCTTAAGATGGCCGGGTGCTGAGGGCGCCTATACTGTACCTCGTTTATGGGTGACTAAGCTCGAGGGCTGCCGAGAGAGCCTTGTCACGTTATTACTATCACCGATTTGGGAGGCCGCCAAGCTCTTACGTTTTTTTCGTGGGTGCTCCATAGAGTAACTAGGCTCAAGGGCCCCCGAGAGGGGACCATATAGGGCAACGCAACAGTCCTCACTGTTGCAGGGAAGTACCACGGCTTCACAGAAGGCCGGCGTGAAGTGGAAGTATTAGATTTTCGCGTTACGTCTGGTCTGTGAGGTAACCGGGGCCTAGTTTGTAAAGGTTATCAACGCATCAGCCAGCCATCGGGTATTGTATGACATATACAAAGGCGGCGGTATTCATTTCGCATCGTGTGAACCGCCTGCTCGCTTGTAAACTTTTCACGTAAAATAAAAGTTACTAAAGTGGCAACCGCTAACTTTTAATAATTTATTCTGATGTACTCAGTAGAAGCATCCAGTATTTTGAGGGTTATGGAGTGTTGTGCTTCTATTTCACTGGTCATATAGACACATTTCTGTTTAAAATGTATTAAATGCAAAATTCTATTAAATCATCTAAGCTTTAAGCGTTTATGAACTGATAATTACAGTGACCTGGTACGATTTTTTTTGAGATGGCGGCAAACGTTCACGTGATGTTAATTGATAATCTCCGCCATTCATAAAAACTGTGGGGCTGCAGGACAGCCATTAAGAGTTGGCCCCGATAAACAAACTCGCGAGACAAATCCACAAATCTTTACATTTTATACCATGTTATATAATGTACTTTTACATTTAGAAAAATAGTATAATCTTCTTCAAAATGTTTTAGTCTCATTGTGGACCATAATAAAATGTACGGATAAATATATATTCGGAAATTTCACTCATTATCATCCTTGACGTGAATTAAAATTTAAGGCATTTTTATATGTGTAAATGAGATTATTAAACAAATTTTAACGCGTCTCAAATTCAATTCAAGTTCCAAATTTCCAATTCCAAGTTTCAAACTTTACGGATGAGGTAAGCTGTATTATATTATATTCGGTATAGGAACATATGAGAGAACTGTTCTACTTTCTTTGCATTCCAATATAATAGGCTGGGGAAAAAGTTTCTTCGCATTTTATATGAAAATTCATAACATTTTTTAATAAAGTTTATTTACATTTAACTAAAGTATGTAATGCCGTGATAGCTCAGTGTCCGGGCGCTCGCCTTTAATTCAATATACTCGAGCAACCTGAGTTCGATCCCCGGTGCCGGCACCAATGAAGTTTTTAACTTTAAGTGCTGACTTATCACGTGCTCTGCGGTAAGGGAAAACATCGTGAGGAAACCTGCATATTTTCGAAATAATAAAAAAATATATATATTTCGAAGATAAGTGAAGTCCGCCAATCCGCAGTGGGGCCGCGTGGTGAACTATGCCCTGATACCCTCTGTATACAGGATGCCTTTGCCCAGCGGTGGGACATGTATAGGCTGTTACTTTACTTTACTATGTAGGGGCTATTTTTTCGATAACTTTCTGCTATCTTTTAAGTTGGGCATGATCCCATTGCTATAGAAATTCTGGGGCTTCTGATTAAAAAACTGCGACAAGTGCTTTTGGCAATCCTCTCGTGATGTTAACCTGACACTGCCTAAAGAATTTTGAAGAGACCGAAAGAAGTGGAAATCTGAAGGTGCAAGGTCAGGACTATACTGCGAATGCATTAACACCTCCCAGCCAATCTCTCTTAATTTTTGCTGAATGGCGAAAGATGTGTGAGGTCTAGCGTTATCATGATGAAAAACCACACCCCTTCTGTTGATTAATTCCGGCCGCTTTCTCTCAACTTTTTGCTTTAATCTCAGCAGTTGTTCGCAGAAGAATCGATGGTCTTGCCTCGCGGTAACGGCTCATAATGAATAATGCCCTTAAAATCCCACTATACACACAGCATTACCTTGTTGCGTGATAACACGGTTTCGCCAGTCAGTGGAGCCTGACCAGCCTTTGACCACAACCTTTTTCGCACGTTCTTGTCGTACGTGATTCACTTTCCATCACCAGTTAACATGTTTTTCAAAAATGGTTCGGTTTCATTACGTCGTAATAAAGAATCACAAATGAGTACACGGTTCATTAGGTTTCTTTCAGTAAGCTCATGAGGCATCCGAATATCGAGCTTTTTTGTGTACCCAGTTTTTTTCAAATGCGCCAAAACTGTTTGATGGTCAATTCCCAATTGTTTAGCTACATCGTAACCACTGATATGCCGATCTTGCTCCACTTTTTCAAAAATGGCATCCATTTTATCCGTAACAGGGCGCCCAGAGCGAGGTGCATCTTTAACATCAAAATTTCCGGATTGAAAACGCTTAAACCAAATTTGTGCTACTCTCACAGACACTGCACTAGGTCTAGAAACATCTCGCTTGAGTTGCATTTTTACCATTTTTATAGTAAAATTTTAAAATATATATGTTTATTAGAATCACTTATCTAAACAGTAACAAAAACAAATGAAAATCACACATTTTCTAATTTGAATTTGGAATTATCTTTTTTAAAATTTAAACTTTTTAATAATACTAAAACCAGCCAGATACAAACGGTATAGCCATAGAGATTATATCATAAGTTCATACATACTATTTGCGAAAAGAGTTTTTCCCCACCTTAATAAAATGAACAAGGCATACTAGAACAACTTTGTACAGTACGGTTTTGGAAGTCTGCTAAGGATTTTTTTACTGTGTCCAGTAAAGGTCTTTCATGTTCGTTACCTCATAACACCGCCATTTATGAATAACTTTTAAAAATTCTTTTTGCACCCGCTTGATTATATATTTCATTGGTATTGAATCTTAATTAGACTCCGTTGATACATCAGGGAAATTTGAAGCCGGTTTGGTTTTTGGTTAATAAAAAAAAAGTTAAGTAAAGCAACAGCCCATACATGTCCACGACTGGACAAAGACCTCTACAGGGTATAAGGGTACAGCCTACCAGTCTACCAGCCCCCTGGGCATAGGCGGACTTCACATATCTAAAGTATGTTTTTTGCTATTATTTCGAAAATATGCCGGTTTCCCTCGCACTACTTTAATACGTACATAAGTCAACACTTAAAATTAACAATTTAATTAGTATTTACATACTAATATACTGCATATTGAATTAAAGCCTAGCGCCCGGGCAGCTTTTGGTAGTAAAAAATGTTTATTATATTATTATTATTGTCGACTTATTGCAAGTAGAGCAGCGTTACACGTGTGTTGTTATTCAGGACCGGGTGTTTGGTAATCGTCCCCCAAGTCGTTGACACTGGTCGAAACCTTTCTCCGAATGCATTTGCCCAAGTGTTGCGTTATTTTATTTAACGTTAATCGCTTCTTGCGAGTGTTTATTATAGGGAATCAAACGATAATACTCTCGTTATTAGAACACGTCAAAATTATTAAGAGATTGGTATTATATACAAGCTTTGATTATTTTAAATCTTTATAATTACACGACCTTTTACTTTTACTGATCGTGGCTTAAGGCGGCATAAGAAACATAAAATCTTTAGTTACTCTAAAAACATATCCTACTATAAGCGCCTAAACATAGATACCAAAAAAAAATAACCTCACTTTTCATCATAAATTATAATATAGACGTTTATCAATTTGATATTTTATAATTTAGTGATCAAATTAATAAAAGTATTGGACTCACCCAAAACCTTTTATTTCTCGAATATGACTTAATTTTTACGGATCGATTTGCCTTGCACTTGAATCAGACACCCGTGAATATCGTAAACGTGAACGAAAATACTTTACGTACTATTTCATTTAAAGTACAAAACCTTTCACAATATGCATTACAATACAAATAACCAAAAATAGTGTGCAGTATATCGGTTACATAAGAAATTTAATTAATGAGCCAGGTTCGTATAATCACACAAGTGGCGTATTGAAGAAGGTAAAAATTATATAAAAGCGCGATACGCACTCAAGTAATCAAGTTAAGAAGAGGTTATCCTTGCAACGGTGACCGTATTGGCGAAAATGTATTAACTCGCCACCTATGCTAACATGTTCTCTTTCACCGACACACGTTTAAAACCTTTTACGGTTGTCTACACAATTATTATGTAAAAGTTAATAATAGTTTGTGTTAAGTAACGAGACAGATATCTTAGCGCTATAAGGTATGGTGTGAAAATCGTTTGGAAACATATACGCGATGTTTCGAGATGACATAGATCCTGCTCCACTGTATCATCTATTGAACATAAATATACTTTGGTCACGTTTAATGAACAGACTCGTTATATTTTAGGGCAGAAAATGTAAAAACACCTGTCACTAAGCCGTATAAACAGTTAACAACGTTATCAAGATACGGTGATGACAAAAGAAGCCAAACGAAATCCAGCGTCGATCCCTCACAGCAGTAAAATCGCAGGGGGTTAAAACAACCGCTTCTGCGGCAACAATCCAGGTGTGACGCAATCCAGAACCGGAGCGAGCACGGGCACCACTGACACCGAAACGAGCGCGAAGGAAATCGGGCGCGACTGGGCGGTGTAAACGAGGCCGCGGGGAGAAAGAGAAAGAGAGAGCTGCTCAGCGTACCCTCTAGCGCGGGGATAAGAGAAGAGAGTGAGAGGCACGGTATCCGGGACTTCTTCTTCGCCACCATAGTGTCGTCCGCTTTGCTCTGCAACATGGGGGCGGCCCGCACGTCCGACGCGACGGACCGTCGTCGACTGACGGCGGCGGCGATGTACCGTTACGACGACAAAGCGCCATACACACTAAAGCCCGATATTCAAGTATAGTAGACAAGTACAGTAAGTACAGTATCGTAAACCATCGGACAGTAGTTACAGCCAAGTTGATTAGATTAGTTTACACTACTGTACTCGCACTGCACTTGTCTACTTGACCAGTGTAAACCGGGCTCAACACCAGATACGAATTTCGAGACTACGCTATCTATACTTGAGATTATTATATTATATCTTGGAGAGTGTTTTGAGTGAGTTGTTTGAACTAATGGAACTAGTGTTTTTGTTTGAACTAATAGAACGGTAAACTTTAGAACTACTAGTCGGATTTGAAAAAATCTTTTTGCATTTGATAGCCCAGTTCTTGAGGAAAGTTCTAGGGTATATTTAAAATCATACTACGACCGAAGGGGGCGATACAAAAGTTTGTCGCGTATGAAATCGCATGGAACAGCTAATAAAGCTAAAAAGCCAAACGTACCAGGGGTTTATACATAACACCGGCTCAGCAGTTGGTAGATGGTACCCACGCAGGTATAACATAACTTTAACTATATTTTCAGCTTGATCAGTTAGGTTTTTCTTTTATTATATTTTAATTAATTAGGCAATAACATTTTATCTCTACAGTTAGTGGATGTTGTGTTTAGTAGTTTAGCGGGTTAACAGATTAGTGTATCATGTGTTCTCTAAATTACTTCTTGGTGTATTTCTTAGATTGTGACCTGTTACTAAACAAAACCTTTAAAATAAAATATTATACGGATTGTAGAATCCGATATTTACCTACGATCCACCACAAATTCTTCTGTATTTTATTTGAAATGCTTATTGTTTATATCAATAAGATTTACTTCTTGATTTTATACAGTGATTATTAAGATGACGTATGTGAAGCCTGTCTTCGGATACCTAGAAAAACCTTCACATTAGGTCTTCCAAGTCATTCTTCAAGGAACCACAACATCCAAAAATTTATCACCCGTCAACCATGGAGATCGATTCCAAGTTTTATCTACAAATTTTTAAGGTTCAAACTATGAGCTGTGGTAGGACCACGCAACAGTCTTCACTGTTGCAACGAATGGACAGGTCCTTCCTGGTCAATGGGTGGCGGTTATCACTTAACATCAGGTGAACCGTCAGCTCGATTGCCACCTTGTCTCATAAAAAAAATATGAAGATGCGAGAACGCTATTACAAATGGCATTGAATCCGTGATCACAGCGACTAGAGCGTTTTCTTTCAAAACCATAGCAACCACGGGTTGTGACCTGTGAACACTGTGAAATGTAAAAGTGTAGAATATGTAAATTAATAAATAGAACCTGCGATTGGCTCGCAGGATTAGTACGGAAGAAGATTTCTATACACGACTACAGGAATACTGTATTAATTAAGAGTCAAAATATTGTAAGCACTGAGGACGGGGCCTTACTTTTTCTGAGACGAGGCAGCGAGGGCATCAAAGATGGTCGCACGCGGCCTACATTCACCGTCCGATGGTTACGCGCAGGCGTGTAGCGCTATCTCACCTTGCCCGTGTAAATTGCCTCAGGCGCGAGAGAGACAAAAGTTTAACGTCGCGTGCGCCTGACATGAATAAAGCCTTACCGTAGTCGCGCGGTTACGTATGATTAGGGTAATAGAGGCGAATTTCGAATAAAGAAGCCACAGGTAAAGTAATTGACATAGTGTCACCGAATAACAAGATTTATTAATAAGCCACTGTTACTTTTAACGGCAATTCTTACTATCACTTAGTCATAAATAAAAGGGAATTAGAAACTCAATTAAAATAACGCACTAAATAATAAATTAATTTCGCACCACAGGTCTCAGTTTGAATTCGCAAATCTATTAATTCCGAGAAATTTGAGAGAACAAGTTTAATTCGCGTAACAATTCTCTCGAAGTAAATGTAAAAAACATTCTTCTGAAAAAAAAAGCAAAGTGAAGGGGGATTGCCTAGCTGACGTGATATCAAAATAACGTAACACTTTTGAAATAAACGATGTTGTTATTTATAGCAAGTATTTAACATTAACTGTTTAAAAAACGTTGGCCAACGTTAAATAAAAAGTAATTAGCCGATGATGTTCAGTCGTTCCATGCCATAGCACTTTCGTACACATTTAAAATTAACAAAAGAACATCATATAAATTTGTTTATTCATTATGTAAGAGATGTTAGTTGTTATATATTATTCGTGGTAACAGAATTATTGGAAATTTATTTTAAGGATAAGACTCCGATTAATCTAATCGACTAAAACTGAGGAGTATATGTATAAGCCGTTTCATTAATTTAAGCAAGTTATATGGCAAAACGATATACAAAAAAAAGAATGTCTCTACTTATGCACGCATAGTCTTACTTAAGTCCTTTCTTCTTCTTAAGCGTAACGATGCGCTATACAACATGTCGCTTTTTGGCAGTCAGTGGGAGCGCGCATCGTAAAAATTTTACTTCCATATTTTCTTCAAACGCCAAAAGAATTATAACTTGTGCTCTGAATTCTTTTAAAAGAAATAAAAATTATCTTTTCATTTCTATGTTTATTTATTTTAACAAAATTCTGTCTCACTTTCCTCATAATTTTTGAAGGTAAGTCGCCTCGGAAACGAACCTGAAACCTGTAATTGAAAGACAACATTGCACCAACGTGTATATCGTTCAAAGAAAATGAGTGTGTCAAGGCGAGAACGCACAAATAAAGCCTGCGCGAATTATTTTATCTATCGCTTAAGCAATGAGCGAAAATACATCTTAATTGTTTGAAGATGGAATCTAATTACTCGTCTATCGAGCGTGTAACATTATCTCGGCCGTCTACGAACGTCAATGCCGTAAAAGTTGTTGCGAAATTTCCTGCGAAATCACGACAATCAAAGCAGATGAATCTGACATTTGCTTGCTTATTTACGTTGTTGGTACGTCAGTGCGCTGTGGTGGGGATTCCGAAGAAATATACGCAAAGTTTCTGCACAATTTGATACTTGCAAATAAGGAAAATGTTTGTAATTCATCACGGAACATTCGGTGAAGGAATAAAATTAACAAGTTCAAACCGAAACGTTTAACAGTTTTAAAAATGGAAATAGGCCCCGTGACGTTGAAAGAAGCCTTTCATAATCGATAAAGACACATCTGAATTGTAGAAGTACAAAAGTAACAGCCTATATATATCCCATAGCTGGGCAGAAGTCTCCTCTGTACAGAGGGTAAGAGCATAGCGGAGCGCGGCGGATTGGCAGACTTCACCTATTCTTCAAATACTTTGTTTATTATTACGAAAATATGCAGCTTTCCTCACGACCTCCTTCACCGCTGACCACTTGATAAGTCTTAAAATTGACAGATTCATTTGTGCCGGCACCTAGGATTGAATTCAGGTCGTTCGATAATATTGAATTAATAGCGAGCACTCAGACACTGAGCTATCACGGCTCTACAAAACCTCAAGAGTTGTTAAATTAAAACGGACAATTGAAATTACGACGGTGAGGGTTTTTGAAAGCGGCACATTTTACACATCGTTTGCTAGACCCAAACTAAGCAAGGTTTGTGAGTACTAGATAACCGACAAACATGCTTAAACATACTTTCCTTTTTAAATAAGTACATATAACAAATATATGCCCAGACACTAGAAAAACACTGTGATCATCACAAAATACTCTTCCAGTAGTGGAAATCGAATCCACAAAAAATGTATACGGTCGAATTGAGAAAACTCCTCCTTTTTGAAGTCTGTTAAAAAAAAGAGTAGTGCATGGAGTCCCTCCGCGTGGATGAAGTGAAACATCGAGTGCCACGCATTCACTTTCGCTCTGTCTCTTTCTATTCCCGCTCCCCAGAAGCGTTGAACGTTTAACCCAACAGGGCTTTCATACCCCCTCCATGGTAGCGTTAAACGTTTAACGCAACCTTGTTGGAAGTCGCATTAGAAGTTTCACTTCAAGTGGTGAGTGACTCACGTGAGGCGTCGCCGGCGGGCACTATCAGCTCTAGCTCGGGCTCCGGCAGCGGCCAGAAGGTGGCGAGGGCGCAGCCCGGGGCGGAGCGCCTCTCGTCCTGGCAGCAGCCCCAGCGGCGCGCGCACCACGCCGCCGGGTGGTAGCGGGCGCGTCGCCCGTTCGAGACGCACACTGCACGTGACACTTATCTTCTTTAAATAGCATAAAACAAAGTCGCTCCTAATTCAGTGCATACATGCATATTATAGTAAAGTCGAGAAAGTCAATATCTACATTGTATGTGTAGGCTGTTAACTTCTGTAATCATTCATCAAGTTTAACGATTGAAAAACTATCGAGACGCACACTGCTCGTGACACTTCGTATCTTCTTTACATAGGATAAAACAAAGTCGCTCCTAATGCTTGTACGGTGATCAGCAATAGAGTTATTCGATGTACTATACATGCATATTAGAGAAAATTCGGGAAATTCAATATCTACATTGCACCCGTGCGAAAAAGGGGCAGGTCGCTAGTATATAATATTCCTAAAGTGTACGCCATAACTTCTATAATCCTTCATCAAGTTTAACGATTCAAACACTATCGAGACGCACACTGCTCGTGACATATCTTTGACGTATCTTTACATAGTATAAAAGAAAGTCGCTCCTAATGTTTCTACGGTTGTCAGCAATAGATAGAGTGATTCAATGTAGTAAATTAATATTATATTAGAGAAAGGTCGAGAAATTTAATATCCAGATCGCACCCGTGCGAAAACGGGTCGGGTCGCTAGTCTTCTTTATACTATTCCTCAAGTGTTTTGTCGGTACGCCATAACTTCTATAATCCAGTTCATCAAATTTAAAATTCAAACACATATTGAAAACTTATGTTTGACGCTGTTGGTTAAAAACGAGTAGAATAAAGTTAATTTAAGTTTTCATAAAAAAATTTGGTTCAAAATTACTTATAAGGGATGTATGATAATGCAGTCTATTGCCAAATTGTTTAAATGAAAGGTACGGAATTAGAATATAATAAATTATTCTACAAAGGAGTGAAGTCTTTTTGGGAGTGTTATAAACATAGCTTTAAATAACATAAACTACCGGTAAAACTAAGGCATTATTTCACAGCGAAGATTTCAACACCATTAGTCTGGTTCAATAAGTTTAATCATCCACGACACTTCAATATTCTCATAGACCGATCGCCCAACACGGATGCTACCCGGTTATGGTCTTGGATACAAGTCACGTCTTGCGGATGTCCGTGATTTATTACACTTCGAGTTGAGACCGAAGCTTAGTAGTCTTCGTACTCTCTACAACATTTTTTTTTCTGTTCAAATAAAAAACTATTCCCGCTTAGTTAAAAAAAGTGTATAAACCAGCGGGAAGTTTCGCAAAGGCGAAAAATTGTGAAAACAAAATTCACCAAGACTCTGAAAAACTATTTTAGGTGCACATTTTTTGTTTCCTTTCATGGTGACCACTTAAAATTTAGTGGTCACCATTTCTGAAGGCGGCACGGAAGCCGTACATGTTTCCGGTTCACGAAACTGCGAAATGCTAATGGATTGATAATGTTTCTTTTTTTATAAGAAAAGTTTCAAGCGGTTCACCCGGTGAATGCCGCCGCCCGTGGACATTTACAGAACATCTTAAATAAACTAATAAATAAATATTCTAGGACACATTTTTGCACAACGTTTTCTGGTCCCAAACTAGGTAATAGATACATACATACTTTTCTTTTGTAAATAAATACATGTTATAGATATATAAACACCTAGATACTGAAAAAACACTATGTTCATCACACAATATTTTACCAGTAGTGGGGATCGAACACACACCCTCTGGCGCAAGAGGCAGGGTTACTACCCAGTAAGCCAATCGAGTCGTCAAATGAAGTGTAAGTGTAATGCTATCGCGTTTTGTCCGGTGGACGAAGTAAGCGGAGCAGACTTTTTTGTTGGTTGGCAACGATAGATTCGTTGCCAACCAACAAAAAAGTCTGCTCAGGCAGTACAAAAAATTAAGCACCTGCGACGTTGTGATAAAAAAAATGGGTAATGCATTAAACTGTAGTGCAAAAGAACTGGTTCTTTCACAACTTATGCTGCTTGAATAAGAGGGCGTTCAATGTATTACGTAAGATATCTTATTATTCTAAACCCACCATTTCCCCTGCATAACGCAATAGACGTGAGACAAACACTTTTTCTCATTTAATATCGAATTTTAAGTAATAAATACTAAATTACTTTCATGATATGAAATATTATTTTTCTTTTTATTATTTTGTTTTTATATCCACAAAACTTACACAAGGTGGATATCCTTACTATATTATCCTTACTAATATTATAAAGGCGAAAGTTTGTATGTATGTTTGTTACTCTTTCAAGCAAATACTACTGAATAGATTTTAATAAAACTTTACAATAATATAGCTTATACATCAGAATAAGATATAGGCTATAATTTATATACATATTTTATGTATATCTGTTTTTCTGTCTGAATATTACGCCTTCAGCCTATTTTACGCAGACGTAGTTGCGGGCTGCTAGTACAGTAATAAAAAATAAAAATCTTGATATTATAAATATTGTTTTTATTGTTAGGGCCCCAGCTTGCTTACGTAATGCTCAAACGTCCCCCTATAGCGATGATTTGGAAGTCTGTTACGAGTGGGTGGCAAAAAAACACCAGTTCAACGATCTCCACACCAAAAGAGCTAAATGTTTACATAGAAGATTAAAAATAGGGGCGATAGATCGATAGGTAGCGTTACAGACAACAAGATAGACAAAAAGTTTTATTTCAGACACTGTTTTTATGTCTCCCGAATAAGTGACGGTCGCCAGTGCCTGCAGAGGGTACTTTTGATAGGTTAGACACTAAAAGAAAACATACCAATGATTATTACACTTGAAACTCAATAAACAGAGAAGGTTAAGAGTAAAAGTAAAATTATAATTAACAATTAACATCTGCAAATGATAACTTTAACATAACTCGAGGCTTTAGGTGTTTCGGGGCATATTTGTGTGTTATGAGAGAGTATGCAAAGCTTTTTTTGCCGCTTTGGAGCCGTGATAGCTCATTGTCCGGCCGCCGCTTTTAAATCGAGCAACAAAGTTCAATCCCCGGTGCCGTCGCCAATGAAATTTTTAATTTTAAGAGCTGACTTATCACCTGCTTAACGGTGAAGAAAAACATCGTGAGGAAATCTGCATATTTTCTAAATAGTAACAAAAAAAAATATTTTACGAAGAATGTCAAGTCCGCAAATCCGCAATGGGGTCGCGTGAGGACTATGCCCTAATAGCCTCTGTACCCTTTGTAGTCTGTGACCAGCAGTGGGACATATATAGGCTATACTTTACTTTTGAAGTGCTTTCGCCTGGATGACATAGATTATTAATATTAGACGGGCACGTTAGTACTACATCAGTAAATTTCACAGTTGACGGACAGATGCTGCATATTCACCAGCTGTTCGTGTCGCACCCATTAGAACCCGTCGTAAACTCGATTCAAATCGAGCCGTACCATGTGTACACGCGAGTAAAAACTCGTTGATTATCTTCAACGAGAACGTTAATTTGCACTGACTACTACTACGGGCCACGACAAAAGAAAGGTAATAAATGAAATGAAATTTTAAAATCAATGGTGTTTAATAATATAGATGACGCTAGTAATGTCGAAAAAATATCGATATATCGATACAAAGCAAAAAAAATTGCAAACAAAAATAAAAAATTATTTACATTACATGACATATTGAACGTATGGAAGGGAAATAGAGAGCAGTCTATAGAATTGCAATCTAATTACACTAACGTCCGGTTTCTGAAACACTGATCATAGTAGAAATTAACTAATCAGCTGTCAAATGGCTTGTCTAATGTCATTTGATTTGCCAAAAGGATGGTTAAACTCTTTGATCATTCTGATCATAAAGAAGATCATTGTGATCAATTCAATGAGTGGTAATTGAACTCACGCTCTCCGTTGGAGAAACCCAATAGTTTGATAACTGCGACACGGAGTCACCATTACGTTTTACACGTTGTATTAGAAACTGAAACTTTATGTTAGAGTCTATTTATGGAAAATCTTACTTTTCTAACAGAACATATGCCTTCCCTTGCGAGGCACGAGGAGAAAATCTAGTAAGAAAATTAGGAAAACATAAAATGTTAGCGTGACACCTCCGTTTTAAATGCACTATTGTGTTACTAACACATCATATTTGCACGAGCACTCTCAAAGTTCATTTTACCGTCGTAACTCGTCGCCTTTATCTTTCGCATCAGCATAGCTTAGTTTCCACCCCCTGGTTCCGCTTCAGGCCTGGGGTTAAACCGCCCTTTGACAAAGGCAATTTCTACTGTAATTAACGCTTAGGGCGCTTAAGGGGTTCGAGCCCGTTCCAGACCGTTCACACCCTCATATCATCACCATACACAAAATCGATGTCGATTCTGCAAAAGTATTTAATGCATTCCACTAATAATCGAACAGATTTCTTAAATTTCGAGACGATTTCTTAAATTTAACAAACGTTTACAAAACTTACTTCACGGAGTTTACCGCGGTTTATTTGTCCCTCCCACCGTTTTGAACAATTTATATCATTCATGGCAGTTGTCGTTAACACGATAAAATCCATAATTTTATTGCAATATCAAACAAATCCCTGTAATATTTATAGTAATACATACAAACTAACGACCACTTGTCTGTCCTATTGATGATTTAGTTCAAAACTAAAAAAACAAAAAACAATAAAACATGCAAGCAGAATGGGCTTCGATTTAAATTTAAGCAAGACACACTAATACGCCAAAAATTAGGCTGGTATTTTGGTTATTTATATTTAAAAACTTTTTGCAGAATAGCGTACAATGGCAGCCACCACACCACGCAGTTATCTGAACAAAGGATCTTAGGATAGTTTTATTTTTAGTGCTAGTCTCTGCAATCAATATGAAACATAAAATGTGATTTTTTATAGACAGACGAATGAACAAAAACTTTCGGCGACGCATTTGAACCAGCGTTTTCTGGGTAGAGAGACGCTTTACTAACTAAGCTAAGCGGCCGATGACCTCACATATCGAAAATCTTTACGTTGGTTCTTTTTAGGATTCCTTACGGGTTTCCCAAAGGGTCAAACGGTAATAGGGTACCTATTACTAAGACTCCGCTCTCTGTTTGTCTGTCTGTCTGTCCGTTTGTCACCAAGCTATATCTCGTGAACCGTGATAGTTAGACATTTGAAATTTTCACAGATCATGTATTTCTATTGCAGCTATAAAAACAAATACTAAAAAACAGATTAAAAAATTATACTGATTACACTATAACAGACATGATTTTTTGCCGTTTTTAAGGACAATGGTACGGAACCCCCCATTTAGCCGGTTAACATGAAACTCCTTACAAAGAACATTGAAGGATGAACATTTGTAACGATAGAACCTTTGGTCTTAAATTTTAGGTTTAATTTTTAAGTAGTGCTAGTCCCTAAACTTAGACGAAAGTTAAAATATGAAAAGGTATAATTAATCATATTATACGTAAGACGATTTTTAGGTAAGCCAAGATAAATGTCTAATGTGACAATTAGATATCACCTAGTTGGAAACCGATGGTGACCTCGTAGCCACCAATCAAGTCAAGTCAAGAACGAAATTTCATACACATTCTCCCAGTCAGACTGTATAGTCTACCGATCGAGCCGATGTCCGGACCATAAACCTAGCTTTGGCATCATCATAGCTCGTAACCGAGGTCCCAGACGAAGCGCAAGGTATGGCAATGTTTCCTCGTGGTATGCTTATGAAAAGAGTTAAATTCAAGCGCACTCGACACCGTATGCCGTTTCCAAGTTGTTCAAACGCGCTAACGCTCTTCGCCTCCATTGATTTGAGCCGAATATCCCAAGGGAAGGTTCGGGCCCCTCGCCCTAGCAATTTCCACAAGTCAATTGCCCTCCGCGCCCCCAATTCCCTTCCAAACGGGGGCATAACATTTAAGCGTCCCGTTGGAACGGCCCAAGAGAAAATCACCGGCATCAATAGGACCTTCATTGAATTGCATTACGAGCGACGAATAGAAACAGAATGTCGAATAAAAAAAGGTAAAATACCAAACAGATTACCGATTGGCGTGGTCGCGCATAATTCAACATTTAAACTTCGAACAAGGCCAACCGTACGCAACCTTATTAACTATTAAGATTTTATAAACCGAAAAGGCGATATATTCGATCGGCCATAACCGAATTACAGTAGAGGTAATTTCGCGGTGCATAAATATACGCTCAATATAATATAATACGACCAATGCAAAAGAAACAAACGAAACGGTATCTTACACTTTAGTGTTGTGCTAAGTATCTTATTGGGGTAATGATTTCTTATATTCACGCGAATACTTCATCGTTAAATAAGACAATTTTACTGATTAAATGGATAATAAAAAAACGGACTGTAATGAGTTTACTAAAGCCACAATAATAAAGCCATGCATCCTCGAAAACGTTCGGAATTTAAACTGTAACAAAATCCATAAAATAATTATTTAACGATTATTAAAGTTCCCATTTCCATATATATTATATTGTTTAGTCTATGGATATTTATAATATCTGTAATCACTACATAGTATAAAACAAAGTCGTACCGCTGTCTGTCTGTCCCTATGTATTCTTAGATCTTTAAAACTACACAACGGATCTTGATGCGGCTTTCTTTATTAGATAGAGTGATTCAAGAGAAAGGTTTTTATGTATAATGAGGGCGGGTCGCTAGTGTATAATAAAACTTGAACGCACTTAAAATTACAAATTAAATACAAGCGTGTTTAAAATAAACAATAATAGCGCTGATAACGACAGGAGAAGCGAGAATAATTCCGCTATTAGCTAGGTTATTGTTGTGCAGAAGTATTCTTGACGAAGAACGTATCTTCTTGAATTCTCAGAGGGACACAAAAGATGCAAGAGGTTGCACCAGCCTCAAGACAAAAGGCGGCAACGTGCTACGTTATTCCTTCAGACGGCGCCTTGCCTTTGTTACGGTTTTATGGCGATTAACGTTCCTCAACGTCGTAAAACATATAACGCTTGTCTAAACGGACCTCAATAAAGAAAAATCAAAGTGTTTTAAACTTAAAAATATACTCCTGTATTTGGAGGATACGATTGTGGACGAAAGAAGAAGAACACTCTAGGTACTTTACTACTATTGTTCTTGCTTTCAGCAAGCAACATTTTCGAAAACAGAACTCGTGGACTAGCCGAGATACAACAAGCTTGATACGGCCTTACGAATTTGGATTCACATGACACCAGATGGCCTTAAAATGGAACGGAGTCCATCAAATATGAAACATACACTGTAAGTGTGTAGTACACAGTACTTGGAACAGGAAATTTCGCAAATCTAAGAAATTATGAAATTAATTTTATTGTGATCACTACAGGTAACATTCCGGCACAGTGTAATTCTACTCTGAAATAAAGGCAGTTTATAAAGGTTTCTCTGTGGCAGTATTAAATTTAAAATTTAAAGTTAAATTTAAAAATTCCTAACCCATTCTTTTCAGGAATCTTGCAGATATCGACCGAAACGTTTTTACATGAAAAGTAATATCTTATCACGCCATTTTACGGTAAGTTCTCCTATATGACCTTAGCGGTTAACGGAAACAAATATCCAGAATCGTAATTTTAACTTGGCTTTAAGAAAACATACGGTAGAGTAGCGACCATTTCACATTCTTCGTAACCAAATAATAGCTAAAAACAAAAAACATTATAAAAATATAATGAATAGAAATTATACAAGGATCTTTTTTTGTTAAATAACAATATTATAACCAAACTAATATTAAAATGTATGTATGTATATTAATCTAAAACTTAAAATTTAAAATTTTGTGGTACTTACAACAATTTATATAAGTTACGAACGAAAGGAAGATGGCCACTACTTATGTCTTGCCCTAAGCATTCTATATGGGGGCGTGTCGAAAACTTACATATTTAACATTAGAACTTAAAATCTTAATCCACAACTTTCAATTATGTCTAAGTTAAAGTTAAAGTTGCCGATTTGGTTTATTCAGAAACAAAAATAATGTTCTCCTTCCAAATCGTTCAGAAACATAACATATGTCAATATGCGTCTGCTCAATTTGGCGTTTTTTGTGTGCTTAATATTACGCCTGACATTTTTAAATAGCAGTATTTTATTAACGCCAATAAGTTATGTCAGGCGCGAACACATATTTACGAATAAATACATGATATGTAAATATCAGTCGTGAAATATGTAATATCAATGAAATCGTTAATTTTTAAAGCCGATTTATTACGTACTTAGAATGGCGAAGGAAAACATATTATATACTATATCGATATATTACAACCAATTAAAAAGAAATTATTATTTATGTGGAAACAATGTTGTCCCGATTACGAGATATTAAGATAATTTTATGATTACTAAGAGCACTTTGTAGTTTTGTCATGGTGTGAATCAACAACAAATATACTGTGTATTGAAGATAAAAAAAAATAAGAGTAATATAGGAAATTCTAATTCCTCAATTCCGATTCAAATTTATTGATTACAATATTTAGTTTGTTGAAGAGATCTCATAATGGTCACTTTGCTATTATGCTAGAAAATCGTGCAGGTACTCTTCGTGAATTATAACGTAACATCGTAAACAAAACGGTATCAAAAAAACCAAATGTGATAAGACCACGCAACTAAAAAGCTTCTGCTTTTCAGGCTCGCCCGAGGAATTACCACGGTCTCACGGAAGACCGGCGTGAAGTAAAAGTATTAACTTTCGCGTTTTCGTTTGAGTGAGGTAACCGGGGTCTACATTTTTAAAAGTTGTCACGCATCAGTTAGCAATCGGATGATGACAAAAAAAAAAAAAGGAATCATTCAATCCATATCTAGAAAAGAATGTTTCTACGGATGCTAATCCTATTCTAATGAAGAGAACTTTCACAAAATTAGATTCAGATTCCATTTACGAGAATACTATAGATGTTTATAAATTAATATATTTTACGGATATAATCGCTTTTCATTCTGATGACTGTCTGTCTGTCAACAGACAATACACGTAACAACGTGACCATGGACATTAAAATCAAAATAAAAACGCGACACAAACTCTAAGATAGTTTCATTTTACCAATCCGCCATAGAATTAAACATGATCACGTTCAAAGTTGAAAAGCCTACCAGTTCTGATGGCGTGGATCCAACGCAGCCTCTCGCTGTGGTCACCAGCGACCAGGTACAACGTGTAGTCGGTGTTGTTCTCCGAGTAGGACACCTGTGTGTATACAATCAAGCTCTCAAGTCTCAACGTCTTCAATTTGATTTCTTTTACACACAAAAAGAAACCGACTCCATTACTTGGTATGGAAGTTTGTGCCAAACAATATTTGCTATAAGATTGTTTTGTTAAACACAAATGTGATTGAATTTGTAAGAAATTATTACGGTGCATATTTACACACATACAAACTATTGGAGTGAAATCTATGCTTCCAGGTGTATTTCAAAGATGTGCTCTTCCATACACATAGAATAATGATTAATTTTTTTAAAGCTGCGAGGATTTCAACCTGAGTCCTCCGGTATACACGCCTAACGCTTAGTCACTGAGCTAAACGGCATTCAAACCGACGAAAAACTTTTTCTACATATACTTAGATGATTAAGATGTTTAGAACTGAAAGACTGCTCAACAGTCGCGTACTACGTGGGGTGGTGACTCATACACGTAGGAATCCGCTGAGCACACTCACCGCAACTTAGCAGAATTCGAATCCGAACCAAACCGTTATCGATAAAAACGGTAATCAGTTTTCGAAGGAGTTAACTAAAAAAGCTGCCACCCCACTAAATCATACAAGGTACGGAGAGATGGCTAGTGTAAAATGTATCGAAAAGTGAGTTTTTAGGGATGGTACACGACTGCATCTGAACCCGCGTACCTAGATCGCAGAACTGACTTTCCTGTCACTGCCCTAAATAGCATCATCATCCTACTGCCCTATCCGTCCTAAGAGGGTTGGACACAAATGTGAATCATGTTGCTGGTGATATTAGCTACGATTTTTAACGACATGCCTGTCGTGAACAATAATCTGCCTCTCACAAATAATCGTCCCGCGTGGGATTCGAACCCACGATCGCCGTTTCCCAAGTCAATAGCTAAGCAACCGCGCCGCCGATTTGCTAGGTTTTTAAACACCGACAGCCTGCCTGTCGTAAGCCCTCCCCGGTAACAGGGAAAAATAATCTGTGTGAATCGAACCCCCGACCCCCGTCACGGAAGCCAGCAACTTATGCCCGGTTCCTATATTCAACGAGCGGCCGTTAGTTACATCATATACATTGATCCCATCCCATAGCCGTAACTGCCCACTCGTACCTGAAAAGGGTACCTGTACGAAGGACACTTCTCCGCCTCGTCCTCTGGTATCTGCTTGCTGAGCTCGCCCAGCTGCGCCTGCTCCACCGTGTGGATGGAGTCCGTCGGGATTCGACCGCGTTCCTTCCGCCTCTGTTGAACGAAATCTATTCAGCACAAGCCGATAACCGCGTGTCTGCGTTGCCATCCAGTGCCGGATTAACCACGTAGCGAGAGTAGCAATTGCTATGGACCTCGCACATTTAAAACCACTCATCTCTACCTGAAGGTTAATTGTTTGAGTGAAATTTATTAAATAAGTAAGAGCATTGAGTTTTTTTCAAACTTAAAAACCCATAGCAGATGAAGGGCTGTTTGAAATTTGCTACGAGCCCCGAGCATGCTTAATTCTGGTTCCATCCGCCTCTGTTAAGAGAAACCCATTTAAAACTAGCTTTTAACGGTGGTAGGGCCATGCAGCACTGTTGCACGAATGGGCAGATACGTCCGAGTAAGTACCACGACCTCACATCCGCTGGTGAACCTCGTCTGGTGAATTAGGTAGCCGGGTCCCACTTTATTTAACGGTAGCAATGCATTTGCAACCATACGGGTGTGCAAGTGTCCATGGGCGGCGGTTATCACTTAACATCAGGTGAACCGCCAGCAAGTTTGCGCCTTTCTCACATAAAAAAAACTATCTGATGCCCGCGTGTCTGCGTTGCTTATTATATTAACAATTATTATATTTTACGTGCAGGGCAGAAAACATCAAGAGCATCGGAACTTCTTTAACCCACTTCCAAGAAGACACGTTACTGAACACGTAGAGCTTATAAAAATAGCTGTTTCTTAAATATCACAATAAGGTTTTTTTATATGATAAGGGCCGAGTGTCTAAGAAATAAAACTTGAAAAATTAATTGAAAGCTATGCAAAAGTTTTTCCGTGATGCGAGCACAACGATAAAATTCTATTTCAGGTGTCGCCAAATGGCGGCCGCGGTCCGCATCTAGACCGCCCACCCATTTTGTGCGGACTCCGAGAACACAACAACTTGCACTACAGAGTATATATTTTAATAAAAATGTATCCCGATAATTATCATTATCATAGTCCGCAACAAAAAACTCATTTTTCACATTAATATGTTAAAAAATACCTCTGTTTCCGAAATTACATTTTTTTAATAAATATTTTTTTATAAAATGTTGTGCGGAATGCGATGGTCATTTCATTTCTCAAAAACGACCCAAGCGACACTAATTGGTGACCCCAGCTCTATTTGTTCTCAGCTTTATCGTTATATTCCAAACTAGCTTTTCGCCCGCGGCTTCGCGTTAAAGCCTTTAAATCCCCTTTAAGGACCCTTTATAACACTTTTTTTCAATAAAAAATAGCCTTTGTCCTTTCTCAGGCTTTACACTATCTGTGTACCGAATTTAATTTTAATCGGTTCAGTAGTTTTGGCGTGAATGCGAGTCAGACAGATAGAGTTACTTTCGCATTTATAATATTAGTATGGATAGTTAAGTGTTGGATATGGATTTGGTGGTTGCTTGTTTGTATGTAAAAGTCCAAGTCTTAGGAACTGGGAGAAGCAGATAGGTTAATTGAGAAGCCATTGCCAAAACGCAGATTGAATTGTTAAATAATAATATTAGCGTAATTGACTCATTACATAAACCAAGTCATGTATCTCGTATGTAATTATCTCAATCGCGCTATTGACATTGATGTACACATAGGCGATGACTCGTAGCCAGGAAATGTTTGGCCTATTGGAGTCATCGTAATAATGTTTAACACTTTCGTGATGGCCGATTGTTTGAGACGTTATCAAAGTTGGTAAGGAGACTGTTTTATAATTCTGTAATAAAGGCGAAGACATATGACAAACGCATTGTCAACATTGGATTATTTGCATTCCTTATTTGCATTTGTATTCCTAATTTAAAAATTCTAATCTAATATAAAAAGTAACTCTCAAATCTTCCCTAATGATTTCGATATTGAGTACCCTGGACTCGTTTTAACGTTATAGCAATTTTTTATTTTTATTTTTTCTTATTCTTATTTTTTTTTAAAACATCGCCCTTACTTTAGGATAACATTATCCTGTGTTGTAGAGACGTTTTACAAACATAAATTTCACGCGGACAAACACCCAGATGCGAAACAACTATCTGTGTGGGAATCAAACCCACGTTAAATAGTTGTCCCGTGTGGGAATCGAACCCACGAGCCCCGACGCGGAAGCCAATACCTTGGCAACTGCGCCACGGAGTCATCAATGCGTGCCTCATCCCATTTTGTAAGTTGCATGTGTTAACTTTAGACAGTACCTTTAATTAAGCTATATCTACTGTCTAATATCTTTATTATCAAAACTGGTTCATTTAACTACGTTCCTGTTCAAATAGTTTATGGGTAACGAATTTCTTCGACGGAATGAGTCGTGGGTTCAATTCCCACCCGTGACCAGCATTTGTATTACATCTGTAATAGGATTCAGTTTCTATCCTTGTTTAATTTGTGTTTACAAAACGTCAATACAACATAAGGTTACCTCATCCTGCAGTAGATTGATAGTTTTTTTTTTTTCAATAATACAATATATCAAATATGTCGACGTTGGTTAATTATTGCGAAATGATAACATCACAAATTTCGAACACGTATCATCACTAATCGACAAGCAAATCACACCTTCATTACCGTTAGCAGAGACGTACTAATCGCCAAAACACAACCTTATTAGTGGCGACGCTCAATGAACGCGCCCTAAACGCGAACGCGTCCGTTTGCAACAATGAGGCATTAACACCTCTATACCACCGCATCGCGAAACCGCAAACGGTTGAGTCGCTTTGGAATATTGGCGACAACGGAATAAATTGAACTATGCTCGCGTAGTTGGCGCGATGCCAGACAATTTAGAGAAACGCCGTGTATATTCCTAACGTTGATATCGAGAACAGATGACGCGAACCGTAGTAGAGCCGCCCATCAGCTTCCACTTTGAATAATCGGGTACTCTCGTCCGGGGAAGAACCACGGCCTCACGGAATTATTATACTTTCACGCTTCATCTTGTGAGTGTGGTAACCGGGGCCCACTTTTTTAAAAGTTTGTTAGCACATTTGCAAGCCCTCGGGTGTTGGAGATGCCAATGGGCGGCCGTAAGGCCGGCAGCAAGCGGTAGCAGGCGGTTCACCTGATGTTAAATGAGTAACACTTAATATCAGGTGAACCGCCTGCTCGCTTTACAACTTTTAACATAAACAATAAGAATTAGTGACTTGGATCTTTTGCAAATACACCATCCCGGGTGTATGGAATTGTACAAAGGTTGTACACAATTGTACAAAAGTTAATGAACTACATCTTTTGTCATTTGTTAACTGATGTACCTTTAATTGTAAAAATCTTTTGTCATTTGTTAAATGTTTTTCTATGACAATATCAATGTGGTTTGTAAAGTGTGAATGGGCGAGGAGATCTGTTAATCATATTGTAACAAAGAGACGAATAAATTTTGTTACCATCCGCATTACGGGGAGTTACAATGTCATGGTTATTATAGCACTAGACTAGTATCCGAACCGGTGGTAACTTACGAACGTATTAATATTTATGTAAAATTTTTGACATTTCATAAGAACGCGCAAGCGTCTATGTGAATAAATATATTTTTGATTTTTTGATTTTTTGATTATATCTAAATAATATACGGTGTAAAATAATCAAAATACGAAAGCTACTGCAACAGTGGCTCCAAAAAAACAAAAATTCACTCACATACGTCGGAAATTATTCAAAGACACGGAATAACATAGCATAAAGGCACCTAGGTAAAATGGAAATATTCAGCATTACTTTTCAGAAAGCTAACAAAGATAAAAGAACCACAGACAGGCTTAACGTCGAAGCGCTCTAAAAGTAAATATTCTCATAGACTCCAGTAGCGACTATGTACCTACCGACCTCATTTCCTCAAACATTGTCTTCTTTTTGTAAAAAAAAAAAACAAAAGTAAATTTCAGAAAATTTCTCATCCAGACGTAGAGATGACAAAAAGGCTTTGTATATTGCAATGAAACGTATAATAGCCCGAAGTTTCCAATATTATAATGAGTATACTTCATTATAATTTTATATAACTAGCGGTCTGACGGACGTTGAGGATGAGTACACACGCCCTAAATCCGACAACTTATAATATAAAAAATTAAAACAAAATTGTAGTGGACCGAATTGTGAATCTAAACCATTCTTGAATCGACCCCAAGACACAAAAAATTTAAAATTATAATCGGTCCAGCCGTTTAGGAGTTCAGTGACATACACATGCATTGACGAATTATATACCTACTAGCTGATCCGGAAAACGTTGTTTTGCCATATTTTTTTTAGGGTGAGCCACCCTTAACACTTAGGGGTATAAACATTTATTATAAACCTATTCTCTGAATATATATATATAAAATTTAATCAAAATCGATGAAGCAGTTTCGGAGGAAGATAAATACGTAAACTGTGACGCAAGAATTTTATATATTAGAAGATAAAGATATTAAACATATTTAAGCGCGAAACTGAAGAAGAAAAATAGAATTCTACAATTTCAAATAAACAAGCGCGTTGGATGTCCACGTAATTTCGAATGCTAGAAAAATTTCTTTCGCCGTATTACATCCCACGAGCATGTTTTACTCCCAGGCGATATATTACGAGTTACATAAAACCAAAGTTCTCACGCGGAAACAAAAAGCGGTGTCCGAGTGTACTTTTATAAGCGCCGCGATAAATTACACGTTAACTTCGGACGTAAAAAAAAATGGTGACAATGCAAAAGCGGTTCACGCTACAGTTAGCGCTAATTGGGTTCGTTGCAGCGGAAACGAAAATCGGAATGTGAAAAATACTCCGGCCTCATGAGGGCACCACGGCGTATAAATTTTAAAAAGCGAATGATACGGCGCCGCCAAAATCGAGCTCGGAACGTTCTTTTTTCAATTGCGAGGTTATGTACTTTTTTTATGTTTTATTTTGCCAAAACATTCAATTCAAAAGCGGCCAGTTTTATGCAAATTCGAATTGGGCCTTTCGAGGTGATATGATTGAACATAATTTCACATGTTTAAAGCATA